TGTCCGAAAATATTTATGCTCGGATATTTTTCATCAACTTTTCGGTCACGTTATTGTAGTACATCCGTGGGTCTATGGGTGTGTCTCTGTGTGTGTGTGTGTGTTGCCTGTGACGTCGATAATGCTACGTGACTGCGACAAGCAGCCAGAATATTCTCCAACTGTTTTGATTGGTTATTATGCGGTGGGGCTGTGGTTAAACGCTTAATATTTTGCTAATTTGCTGCTTAATTTGATTGGCATACTTTGTTTTTTGTGTGTTTTTCCTTTTCAGTTGACGTACTCGTACAATGCGGCGTATGCATAATGTGTGTAATTATTATCTGGATTGAAGGCCCTGCCATGAGATCCCCTCTCGCTTGGGCATCTGGGGGCGTATACGCAATAAAAATATTAATGTGACGTACGTGATAAGATAAGAGAATACTTTATAGTAGGACATGTTATTTAATGAAACCCTAAGCTGTGGCCAATTAAGTTAAGTAAAAACTGCCTGTGTCCTTAGTTGTGGTATTTTGAGCGAGTCGGGAATCTTTTCAATGATGATGAGAAGGTTGGATGAGAAGGTTGGATCTACTTCTCATACCGGGCACAAGTTAGTAGTTAGCGTTCGTTTTCATCAACGGCTCCTTTAATGCTCTTAACGTGTGCTGCTGTTAGTTATTGCGGGAGAGAGTTATTATATTGTAATGTTACGAGGAAAACTGCATTGAAGATTAATTTGCAAGGAAGGGAACTACCGCGCGCATCCGTCCTGACAAGAAAGGCATTGGCATGCTGTTAGTTTCCTTCCGCTTTCTCACACGCAGCTATACAAGAATGTTGACCCAACGGTGCTGGGATAACACCAACCCTGTGTTTGGCCGACACGCCTCTAGATTGGAATTCCTTTTAATAACTTATTTAGAAGCTGCAGGGTCGATGAGGAGAGGCCATAAGCCGGCGCAGATCTGTTGCCCGAGGTCGATCTTTTCTTAGCGACTTAGCAGATTGTGAACTTATCAAAATTCCTTAAACGTTCCGGGTGGTTTAGGGCGGACCACTAAGCACAAAACATATTTTATGGCATCATAATGCGGGATTGCCTGTCCAGTTCGAAATATATATCTGGAATAGGTTCTCTTCCATACTTGTCGATAAAACCCAATAGATATCTTGTTGATGCGTCCAGTGAATCTATTTTGCACTAAATTTCAAACTTGGTGGAATTTACTATTACAGAGAGTTAAGTTCGAAGACTGTCTTGGCCACCTTCCTTTCCTGGTGGATGCCGGCTAAATGTTGGCCCTGAGCTACCTACGTATCGCTGAGATGTGGACGCGCTTATATATCATAGTCGCTGATAGCTTTCACCTCGCTCTATTCTAGGATCTGTAGTCAGGTTATGGTTCACTTACACCGAATTATTATTTTCATTGCAATTTTTATTGATGATTCGCTCCTTACTTTGACTCCGCATCGAGTTCCAGACGGATATTGAGTTGGAAATGTGCCAATCACATCGCTTGCCACAACTGTCCGTCAAACGCTCATCAGATATAGAAGCGTGTGTTGAAAATGAATTCCTTTATGTCTACCAAAGCATTCAACATGTTTCCCAATGCTGTCACACAAATCAATCAGCAGACAATAAGAACTGAGTATCTATATCAGATGGGACTGTCAAATATAGTGTCATGTTCGGTTTGTCTGCGACAAAAATCATTGGCAGGCTTGTAAAATTCGCAAATAAATGTTATGTAAATTATATTGATTTGAAATTAAAACATGTCGAGCTGCAAAATGGCACTCGGCGGTATCGGGTGTCCCATTAGCCGCCATATATTCCCGTACAAGCCAAATAATATTCGTTCACGAGTATATCGTACGCACGCGACTAATCAAATGCCAGAAAGCAATTTCATTATAAATTCAACAAGAAAAATCATTCGACACGCGCCAACCGTTGAAGCTTCTCAGATGTCCAGAAATTTTTCCATTGCTCCTGCCATGCCATGCCAACCCAACCCAACATACGAGTACAGGCCTCGCCTTCGGGGCGATGCCGTTGACTTTTGCCAATAAAAAATATTAATACTTTAACAATCACTGACCTACTTTCGGTTTGTTTTGTACTATGTACGAAGAAATTGTGCGCTTGACAGCCAACAGCCAACAGCTAACGGCTAACGGCTAACGGTAAGCATAAAGCACAACAAGCAGTACTTTGATTGCGACAAGAGAGTTTGACTGTTTTTTATGGGCTGTGCGTTGCGTATACGGAACGTTGTGCACGCGTGCGACCATGTCACCATATGAAATGGCAGAATGTTGCGCTCGTTGGCCTTAATCGCAGTTCGATTTAGTTCAAACATCTTTGAATGTGCCACTGATTGATGTGGCGTCGACATCGTCGGTGTGATTGCTCGAAAGGATAGCGGCAACACTTACAAGTGGAGGGACATGCACAGGAGATGGACGCGTGATCTAAGATGCTGTCTCGCATGTTAAGGGCAGCTTCGATATTGGGGAAGTTTCGCATTGTCTGCTTTGTTCTGATCGAAAAAAAGTATTTTATTTTAAGAAAGGAAAGCAGACTGCTAAAGCGTCTATTCAAAACTTTAAGAATATAGACATGTAGTCGTTGTGGTAACACATACATATATTGCCTTTACTTCAAAGGAGTTGTATTAATATGAGGAAGAGTATGTTTGATATATCCTTGGTACGTCCGACGTTTAATGAAATGCACTTCAAATTATTTATCTTTGTTGTGTAAACCTTGAGATCTGTTTGACTTTCATCTAATAACAAACTACAACACATCCGAAACTGTGACCAGGATGCCTGTATTACTAATTTCAAAAGCTCCTACTATTTTCTTTTCAGCATGATTAGCCACCGATTCCACCAAACAACAGCTTCATAAATATCCAAACTAGTTAGTTTCTAGTAACGTTGAAAGCAAAATTCTGTCCTGCTTCCTAGTTAAGTCCATTACAAAAATGTTTATTTTATTTGAAGATCAAGGCATTAAAGGATGTATAGTTTCAACACAGCCTAGGGTAAGTTTTTAGCTTGGAAAAGTAAAGTTGTTGCTTTAAAATTTCTTTACATTTAGATTGTTATCCAGCTGGTATATTAGCTGTAATAGCTCATTTATTTGCTGAAATAGCACATACTACTAGCACATTGTTACTAGTGATGTAGGCTTGCCTAGAAATGAGGGATCAATCACGATTATCATGTCATCTCTAGCCGGCACTGTCTAGTCCATTCGGTGTTATTTTTATTGCCCCTAAGTGGGTCAGTCGTCGTTATTGGAAATGATTTGATAGTAGGTTATTGAAAACTTTTTCCTCGGAACATAAATTGCCATAAATTGAAGATTTTATGCGCTAAGTTTGCGTTAAGTGCGCAATGAAGCCGGTTTGGTGTCAACGACGCTATTAGTGGAAATATAACCACAAAAGCTGTAAAGGGTAGATGAAAAAGGGGGAGAGAGTTGGAATTGCAGTGTAAATCATTTCATTTTATTGAACTTGCTCGTTTATGAGAATACAGTTTTGCTTCATTTTTAATTGTTTATTTGTTAGTAAATAGTTTGGCAATTTCTCTTTGCTTTGCTTAAATTGTTGTTGTTGCTGTGTATATATTTGTTGCTTAATATTGTTTAATGTCCTCGTAATTTGCTGTATATGCATAATATTAATTCTTGCTGTGTATATGTTTTAACTTTATTGCTTTGAAATTGTCTTACGATTATATAGTTCGGCATTGGTTTTCATTAAGTATATGTAATAAATGTATACATATATTGTATATAACCGATATATGGCCATACTTGTGTCTTGTATATAAGTATTCGCTTGTCTACTCGGGTGTAGAAGTAACACTCTAAGTTTATACTTGTAGTATCGTATTGGCTATCAGTTGTCACTTGAATTTAATGCGCTTGGCTATTGGCTTGGGTTTTTTTTTGTTTTTTTATTGGATGTCTAAGACTACGCAGAGTGCTGTATTTGAATAAAGTAAATAAGTGAAATGGAAAAACATTACCGATATTACATAAAAGGTGTTACACATAGGTAGGTATTATAAAAAAACTAATGAAATCGATTACCAATTTACATAAACTTATGCTTACACTAAAGTATTGAGTAATGTTTGCGTTTTGCAGCAGCATTATGTTCTTAAATGCCCGTCGAATTTTGATCCCATGCAACGATTTTCAAAAGAAAATTACATAAACCTAGTTTAATTAATTACCTTAAACGGATTTCTTAGATAATAACGCATATATGTATGTAAGTATAATTTAGTTTTCATTTTCATCTTCGCATTGGATAAAGGCACGAATGTTTATAAAAATTGTATTATCGAATGATTCTCAAAACTTTAAGTTGGCTGCGAAGCTTGCCTTTGTGTGTACGAAATACGAGTAATTTATTCAATTATATACTTAACTTAATGTATTCTCTTTGCTTACGATGTCTTGCAGTTCTTGGCTTTTGCGTTGAGAGTGCTCGGCAAACTGCAGATTCTTTCTGCTATTTCTCTATTTGCAGTCTTTAATATTATAGAAATGAGCAAATAGAAAACCTTTCTAAATCTACAATAAGTTTTGGTGCAAACTGTTTTAACTTTATATATAAGAACTCGTTAAAATTAGGTTATACGTAAATTTGAAGTCGCTCTTGATGATAAAAGTATGGAGTCGTAGGGGAAATAAAATACGCGCGTCCATGAAAGGTTTCATATATCACAGATTTTGAAATGATAAATGTATTCAATCAACAGAAAAGATGTCGAATTCTTTGTGATAAGCTACTTTCAATACAAACTGCTTGCAACGAACGATTACTTTTTACAGCCATTGGCCAATACATTCCATTCCATATCATCTCATCTTATATCATATCATACCATATCATGTGTACTATAAGTGTATATTGAGATTAACCTAACACGGTATGAAAGTTCCTTTTCGAGTGCAGCTCGAGCGGCCTCGAGGATACTTTTCAGCGTCGCGCATACTGACAACAAACCGAGCTGCGCGGCACACGCTGCGTCGGCAACCCAGACATGCCCTTCAGATATGTGTACGAGACTGGCTGACGTAGAATGCGCTGCGGCGGCGGCTTTGACTTGCTCTTCGATGACGAGGAGCTCGCCAAAGGAGCTGATGACGTGCAGCAACCGGAGCTGGACTTTGAGCCGGCTCCTGTTTGTTGTTTGTTGTGCTTATGCAAATCCACGCTCGAGGCGGACTTGAGTGCAGACTTTAATGGCATCGCGCTAACAGTGGCTGCTGCTCCTTCTCCTATTGTTGTTGTTCTTGATGTTGACAGTAATGATGGCGGTGGCGGTGAAGGACCGCTGCAAGAGAGCGAGCGGGACGTCAGCGATAGGCTTTCGAAGGCACGACGCAGCGAAGATGTTGAGCGTCGGTGCAAGCGAGAGAAGCTGGCGCGAGAAAGCGATTTCCGTTTGAGCTGATGTTGTTGTTGTTGCAGTTGTTGTTGCTGCTGCTCTTCAATATCGATAGTGCTGCTGGTCTCGCTCGAGGCGCACGACATGAGCTCTAAGCTGGCCGCATACTTGGCACTCGTCGTGGTGGTGGTGGTCGTGCCTGACGCTATTGACGTGCCACGCCCCATTGCCCCGGTGGAAGAGGAGCACGAGTCGGTCGATGAACTATTGGCATCGTCCTCGGTTGCAGCAACGCCTGCAACGCCGGCGCTTGCAGCTGCAACCGTAGCTGTGGCAACCGAAGCAGTGAGCGCGTCATCATCATCCTGAATTAGGTCATCGTGTGACCTCAGACCGAAGCGGCGACTCAGTTGCTGAAAGAAGCCCATGTTGCGCTCGTAGCGTGGCGTGGGGGACACGCTCAGGCTGCTGCTGCTGCAGGGTGAGTGACCGCCGTTGGGCTCTAGGTCTAAAGTACACTTTTTGCCGTTGCTGTTGCTGCTGCTGCTGTTGCCATTACTGCCGACGGCAATGGCGGCGCTGCTACTGCTACTGTTGTTGTTGTTGCTGTTTAGACTGCCATTGCTGGCGCTTTGTTGCTGTTGCTGCTGCTGCTGCTGCTGCTGCTGCTTGGTCTTCTGTGGCAACTCATCCGCAAAGCACACATGTGGCGTCCCCATTACGATTTGGTTCTTAATTAAAGTGCAAATACAGCATTAAGTTCAAGGCGCACTTCCGGCCCGAAAATTGAACAATCTTGTGAAATCTATGCGCCCTTCTTATATCACTTTTCATGTGAAAGCGGCTGCACTTCCGCTTTCCCTATTGCGTTTCTTTGTTATTACCGGTCTTTGTCACACACACACACACACACACTCTCGATAGACAGATAAACAGAGCCGTGTGCTGTTCGTCGGCTTTTTTGCGTACACAACGTCGACGATGTCCTTTAGCGTTTGAGTCGGCAAATTATTTGCCGCACGCTTTTATAGACTCATGCCGGCTGCAAATTTGTCTGCAGAGCAGCCTCTCTCGGCTTTTTTCTCTCTCTATCTCCCTCTCTCTCTCTCTCTTCATATTTCTCTCTAAGTCGCATTTGCAGGGCCAGTTTGTTTATGAAATTTGGCGCTGAAGCTTCCTTCCGCCATCCTCACGACATTCGGTGCGTGTGTGTGTGTGTGTTTTCAACAATAAAGCGAGTTGCCTTTGTTTGTGTGTGTCTGTTTGTTTGTTAGCTGCTTACACTTCTGGCCGCCAGGTGGTGTCAATGCGCCCTTGTGGGTTGCCTCTGAAGACTATGTGTTTGGTGTCAACATTTGCGCTCACTGCTGCTTAATTGTTTTCTCTAGCAATCAATTTTTAATCAGTCCTGACAATGTCTGCGATTTCTGCTCCCTTTCTTCTTTCTCCTGCCAGTTGTCGCGTCCACGCCATTTTATTTCTCGCACCCACACCAACCCCTTTTTGAGGTTAGCAACTTTCAATTTAAATTAATTAAGTCGCACATTTCCTGAAGCTTGCCATTCCAAAAATAGCATTTTGCTTCTATTCTTGAATTCCTAATGCCCATATGCCACTCAATGCTTACGCGTGCCGACGCTGGTTTCAACTCACACAGTGGGCCAGCGGACCCTGATTTTTGGACAAGATTTTCAATAGGAAGAATATCAATTGTATTCACAAGAGAACAACTATATATAACAATATATTTAGCTTTTCCTAATTTATAATTTTTTATTTAACAAATTGAGTTCAATTACTTTTTAATTTCCTTTATTATACCCTGTACCCGTAGGGTAAAAAGGGTATATTAGGTTTGTGCAAAGTATGTAACATGCAGAAGGAAGCATCTCCGACCCCATAAAGTATATATATTCTGAATCAGCATGACGAGAGAAATCGATCTAGACATGTCCGTCCGACATGTCCGTCTGGATGAACGCAAGGATCTCAGAAACTATAAAAGCTAGAATAACCAAAGTTGGCATCCAGATTCTCCTAGGTCCGAGTAAGGACGAGTTTATTTTATTTTTTTTAATTTTCCCCCCCTTCCCCCGCTACAGAATTTCGTCAATAGCGTCCACATTTCAAATGCTACCTAAACCAAACTTTGCACACATAATTATTATATAATTGTCTACTGTTGTATAAATTTTTGTATTTTATCAAATTCGGTCAATTCTAAGAAAAGTTATTAGCGAAACAAATTCTCGCCAGTACAACCCACACAAACTGCCGCAACAAGTTCGCTCTTCTTCTTCCTCTTTTTGCTGCTGCTATGGGCGCATATAACTCAGTGACGAAGTTTACCTGGGTACAGGGTATTACACTGTCGGGCTTGCTCGACTGTAGCGTTCTATCTTGTTTTTAAATTAAGATGTGCAAATGAAAAAAAAAATACACCAGAAGTTTTCAAAGTATAACTTACTTCGAAATCAGCAGAGTTATACGGATTACAAGATTACTGTTCAGGAGCGGATTAATATTATAGGCAGAGGAAAAACCAACGAATATAGCATTACTTTTTCATTCTTGGTTGACAATTATTTATTGGTTTAGTTAGCCTTTAGTGCTCAAACTAATGGCTATTAATTTTGTAAGCCAATTAAAAATATTTTATCGATGCGTGATATTCAAAAACGTGATTGATTGGCCGCAATGCTACTATCACACGCATGTCCATGGTTGGTGTGAAGGGAGTGTGATGCTGGCTTGGTTGTTCTATGCACAGGTGCAGCTGCTGTTTTAAAAATACCAAAGAGCAGCTGGAAATGTGAGTAATATCGATAGTACAGTGAACTTCAGTGGTATGGGACACAGATGAACAACATTATTGTTTAAACTGTTTTTATAAAATTTGATCCAATTATTTATTTAATAATAAGCGCAGCTCAAATTTGTAGATACCATACTTAATAGAAATTAGACAATAACTATTTTTGGTATCTAATCAAGTTCAAAATCACAGTAGCTTTAAACTAGCTGAATTATAATTCTGTCCAAGAGTGGACGCCCTATGTGCAGAAAAAGGCTTGGAGGGCAACAACTTTCAATACAACAAGTAAAAAAGCTAAAGTCGGGTGTCCCGACTTTGAAATACTCTGTACATATGTTTACAATAATTATAGAAAGTAAAAAAATTAGGAAAATTAAAAACAAAAAAATTTTTTGATCGATTTGACCTTTCTTGGTATTCGAACTCACGTAAAGGGTGTATAAAAAAAAAATAAAACAAACTCGTATAGAATACACACATAAGGCATCTTTGTGCAAAATTTGGTGTGTCTATCTCTTAAAGTCTCTGAGATCCAGGTGTTCATACGGACGGACAGACGGACAGACGGACAGACAGACAGACAGGGCTAGATCGACTCGTCTCGTCATGCAGATCAAGAATATATATACTTTGTGGGGTCTGCCTGTTACATTTTTCAGCTCCCGCAAACCTAATATACAAGTACTTCTGTACATTTCATGTACAGAGTATAAAAAGTCTAAGGGAGAGGAGAATCTTTTAATAAGCATTTCATCCCGACCCATTGTTGTTGCTTATGTTTTGCATTTCCGAGAGAGTGCGAGTAAACATCAAATTGATATCAAGGCTGCTAAAAATAAGGTGTACGGCCAATTTTATGCACTGGCTGAGGGGGGATGGGACATTGCTTTTTAAGACCCGCCAGTGCCTGCCTTCGGCTAAAGCGACTTAATGAAGTCTTTTGTCCCGATTATGCTTCGACGATGCTGGCTTGTCCAGTCCGTCTGTATCGGTATGTGGCTAAGCTTTTAATTAGAGACGCAATTGTTGACATTGACGTCAGAGCGAGCCGGCTGTGATTTTGGCATTCTGCGATGTTCGTGTTGTTTCTAATACTGTTCCGTAATGGGTGTGTGATGACGAAAATCGTGTCGACTCGTTAAATTGTGATGTTATATTTGCTTGTTAACACATTAATTGACGGCGACTGGTAGTCAAGTTGGCTTATGGCAGCATTTATTGGACAACTACCTTCAATTTTGATTAATGCAAGGCAAAATGCTGAACTCCCTAAAGACGCACACCCAGTTTATGAAATTATAATGAAATTACGATTTTAAGCATCAGCACATTCTACATTGGCTTTCACGTAGGAAAATATATTACAAAAGGTATCATTAGAAAAGATGTTACATTTAACTTTATTTAGGGCATTAGTTTTATTAAATAAATAATAATTCCAAAGAACAAATTTATACATTATAGGAAGAATATCAATTCAATTTTGATTAATGCAACAGCTGATTTTTGTTGACATTTGAAATGCAGCTTGTTTACATGTCGCAATGCGCCGTAATATTGCATTTGTTTACATTTGAAGTGCAACCAATGGGAGGACCCCAGTTTGTTTACATTTCGGAATGCACCGTTTGGATTGTGCAGCTATTGTGAGCCACTGCATTTTGTCCACATTCACAATTTAAATCCCAACTTGTTTGTTTACTTGCTGTTCACGTATGTTCGCCTGGTATAAGAATACATAAAATGCCTGGAAATTCATATGGAAACCGAAACCATTTTGTCCCACAGCTGATGTTTGTTTCCATTCATAATTGGAATCCCTTCGGGGTTAATGTGTGAATTGAAACATGAAAAGGCAAAAGACAGTCGAAATGGAAAGAGGTAGAAAGCTGAAATTTGGACTCAAATTCCTTGTACAATTCAAACTCTTCGGAAATCGTCCAACGTTGGACATAATCTGTGTATTTTATATCTCATTGCATTTAAAATTATAATAATTTATGTATAATTATAATTTCTTATGTGTGTACAGCTAAAGAAATATGCACACCGAAATGGTGGCCTACAACACACCAGTTCTAAAATTGTTTAACAAATAAATGTAGCGCCTGTGTCCTTTTTCCCCTACACCACAAGCTATGCGCATTGCATACAAAAAATTACACATTCTTCTGAGTTTGCAATCTTTTTCGTTATTTGATATTTACAGACTCAAGTTTTAGTTTTGCCTAATTACTTGTATCATCTTTATCTCAACATAATTATCATTATTGCTTTCTGTTGTTAGTCTGCCTGCTCCATTTCAGATCTGCAAGCAAGTGCGTATGCGTATGGTAATTAATAAAATAGCTGCTACATAATCATTGTCTCGGATGGATTGTCGAAGGAGGCGTCGCTCTTGTGCGGAGGCGTGATGGAGGCCGTTTGGTGGATAAGCCTTCTAGCAGCACAATCGTTGGCATAATCGCCAATGCATCCACAAGAGACGACAACGAGCGTACCTTATTCTGCAAGCTTATTAATTTTGCATTCTATACTAAAGCATCTTCATTTAATTATGTAATTGCGCGAACAAATAAACTTACAATTGCTGTTGTCGCTATCAAATTTGAATCACACACACACACACACGTAGACACGATGCCGTCGATTAACGTCATCATGGGTCTAGCATTGCGTACTGTAGACATGATATCGTATGTCAAAACTATAAGGTCGAGTCCTTCACCAACTTGATATTGAGGACTTTACCTACATCATCAGTGGCAGAAGCCACCAAAGCCGAAGCAGCATTAACCGTACCTATACGAGTCCATCTGCATTGTTGTACTTCATATGCATGTGTATATTGGTGTTACTGTGTGTGTGTGTGTGTGTGTGTGTGTGTGTGTGTGTGTGTGTGTGTGTGTGTGTGTGTGTGTGTGTGTGTGTGTGTGTGTGTGTGTGTGTGTGTGTGTGTGTGTGTGTGTGTGTGTGTGTGTGTGTGTGTGTGTGTGTGTGTGTGTGTGTGTGTGTGTGTGTGTGTGTGTGTGTGTGTGTGTGTGTGTGTGTGTGTGTGTGTGTGTGTGTGTGTGTGTGTGTGTGTGTGTGTGTGTGTGTGTGTGTGTGTGTGTGTGTGTGTGTGTGTGTGTGTGTGTGTGTGTGTGTGTGTGTGTGTGTGTGTGTGTGTGTGTGTGTGTGTGTGTGTGTGTGTGTGTGCATAGAGACAAGGTGACTAACTGGCACACTCCCAATCTCGAATGCCGCGCGGTGGTTGTCATCTGCTTTCGGTTTCGGTTTCGGTTTCGGTTCGGTTCTGTTTCTGTTCTCTGTTTTGCTGCTGTTCCCTGGGCACAGTTAGGCGTCGCGGCTGTACCTGAACCCAATCATGGGAACGAAAAACATGTGCGCGGCACGTTTCTGCGCATGCGCCGCTTCTTGTTCGTGCTGTATACTTTGCGGCGGCAATCGCATTGAACATGGGGTGTAGGAGCGGAGAGCTTTTTGGTGGCGCGTACGTTAATGTTGTCCTTAGGCGTCGAGCTTTTCCAGTAGTAGTAGGTCGCCAAAGGTGTGCGCTGACGTCTCACGACTTGAAGGCTGAGCGGCTGCGATGATTTTTGAATGAAAAGCACTGGTGTTTCAATTTCATCTCAATAATGTATATTTATTTAAATAGGTTTTAAATTACTGACAGCTTGACCTTTTAGTTTTCATTTCTCATTACTTCTCTAAAAATATATGGTTTGGGCTTAGATCGTAAACAATTTTACAATTTTCATTAAGCTTTCCTCCAATGATATTTGTCATTCTTTTTAGAATATTCTAATGCATGCTTAAAAAGTGTTTTATTTTAAATAGACTTTAGGGTTTGTTCGACAATGCATCACATGAAATAATTTGTATCTTATGGTTCTTTAAATTTAAAATTTTTTGCCAAACGAAATATATTCTTTCTTGTATTAGTTTTCAAAATTGTGTTGTTGTTGTTCTTTTGTGTTTGTAAGAGCTTGTAGTTATGTGTAATTTTGATTTCAATAAATTCGTTATCTTTTGAGAAATTCATTCTAATAAATTATGTGCAAAGTATATTTGGTATTTGTTGGAGAAAACGTTTCATTTCGAAGTGCCGTTAAACTAGGTATTTGCTGTGAACGCACTAAGCTCCAAAAAATCGTTTTACATTTCCTATACGTTGTATATAAGTCAGCTGCGTATCATGTTGAAGATATGTGTTCTTAATTACATGATGCTAATATAATATAAGTTAGAATATTAATCAATTAGATTGCAACCGAATGTTTCACAAAACCATATACTGAATACGCACCATTGGCTTGCCAGTGGCTTTTTTCGTAATGCTAAATTTTGAACTCTACAGTGCCTGCTATAAATTGGTAGCTACAACTAATTGAGTATACGAGTATATATGCTAAATAAATTTTTGCTACTTGCTGTGAATGTGTAAACTAAAAGTCTCTATTAGAAGCACACGTACAATTCTACATACATGTAGTATACATAGGTATTGGAGTACTTTTTGTACTTTTTGTACTTTGTGTACAGGAGTACATACATCTATGCATATACGAGTATATTGGTTAGTACACACATTTATAAAATATGTTCGCTGCTTTTCTCGCTGTTTCTGTTCCTCATCATCTTTGTCGCTGCTCTGGCTTCCGTTGTGTTCCGCGTTTTAGGCACTACATCACTTTTCGATTTTCAACTAAGTTTCTAATCCCGATTCCATCCCCCATTATAATTTACAAAATCTACAACTTTAAAGCGTTTTTACTTATGGTATTAGCCTTCGATATATGTTGCCATTACCCTTACCTACTTACACTACTTTTGGTTTCTATCTTTCGATTTGTGTGTGTTATATGTACGAGTATATGTGGCGAGGACATTGCCCAGGATAATGAGCATGATGTGTGTGTGTGAAATGGTGAGGTGTGTGAAGAGAGTGTGTGTGTGTGTGTTGCACATCTAGTACATGTGATGCAACGTGTAGGGACAACAGACCGCGTAGCTGGGCACACGCGAGTACAGACCAGACATGCCCTTCATGTACACGTACTGCACTGGAGGTCGCAGGATGCTCTGCTGTTTCTTTTGCTTTTTCGCCGACTTAGATGTGCCACTGCCGCTGCCGCTGCCACTGCTGGTGCTGCTCGCGTTGCTGCTGCTGCTGTTGTGGGGCGTGAGTGACTTTTTCGTGACGGTGCTGGTCGAGGACGACACTTGGGATGCTGCTGACGTGCGCTGCGCCTTTAGCTGGCGCAGAGGCGTACTGCTGCAGGACAACGAACGCAACGAAGCCGTGGCCGTCGTGGCCGCCGAGGTCGAGAAGTGATGAAGCATGCGGCTCACTGATGACGAAATGGATATGCGGCTCAAATGGAGACCACCGCCGGCCTTGCAGCCGCTGGCAGAAGCAGCCGATGCCGAACGCGGATGCTGTTCATCCATTCCGTTTTGTACTTTCATGTGCTCCACATTCTCGTTCTCATCGGTGCCCAAACCCTCGTCGTCCACATCCTCGCCACTGCTGGAATCATCGTCATATCGTTGCATGGCATGCTGCTCGAGGACGCTGTTCGGCCTGTAGACGGTCTGGACATAGATGTGGCCACTGTTGCTGCGATCATAGCCTTCGTAGCAGTCCAGGCCAGGTGAGCAACGCGAGCAGGCCGATGTGGAGGAAGCGCGAGAGCCTACCAGATCCAAACTGGATCCGCCGTTTAGCACATGGCACTCGTTGTGGGAGCCGCGCTCGTCGCTAAGACTGAAGGAGTCCGTCGATGAGCTGCGTATGTCGTCCTGGCTGCTGTATACTGTGTCGTTCTGGTGATGATGATGCTGGAAATGCCGTCCCAAATGCTTGCTTAGCAAGTGCAGAAAACTACGCGATCGTGACAATTTCTGTTCACGCTGACGCTGTTGTTGCTTGTGGCATTTAAGATCCATGGAGGAGCTGGTGGCCGAGCTACCGCTGGAGTTCGACTTGGAGCCGTTATTGGGCGAGAGTGTATCCATTTTTGAAGTAAATTTTTTATTACACTTTTAGTTGTCTTTCAACTGTAATGCTTTTTTAAAGTTCTTGTCTTGAAGAAATTATTAATTTCTTAGTCCACACAAACACAATTTCAATTTTCAGTTACTTTTGAACTTTGAATTGATAACAATAATTTGTTTTAGTTCCGTTTGCTCGGGTAGGTGCACGTATCGCGACGTCTTTGCTGACTGCTGTGGCAGGCATCAGTGTCGTCCCTTTTATACAGTCGCTCATGGTCGTGCAGTCCTCGAAAGCTTCGCTCTTAACCTTCGTGTGTAGCACACCCTACGGCGCCAAAGCCGCATCCATAAGCTGGCGATGCACTGCGCGCACTCGGGCCGCCGAGCAGCCGAGCAGCCGAGCGCGGCGCTTGCAACTCGTGCGGCACGTTCCGCAAACCGTATTGCCACAATGACACAGTGCCGTTATCTTAGGCCATGCGTGCACAACGTGTGCGCGCCAGAGCGAACTGGAAACCCCAGTGAATAGTTAGTTATACGAGTACGTACTCGTAGTACGCACAACACGCCCATTTTTGTAGGCAGCAGCAGCAGCAGCAGCAGCAGCAGCAGCAGCTGTTACCTGTTTTCCTAATGCCGATGCTGTTGGTGATGCTGATGCTGATGCCGATGCCGTGCCGATGCCGTGCCGTTGCTGTGCCTTTCTCTGGCCATTTCCATTTCCATTCACAGCCACAGGCAACGTGACTGCTGCCGTTGCCAACTTTTGGCTTAGGTGTGACAATTGTAACTGTTGTAGTTGGTGTTGCACTTTTGAGTTTTGAGTCTTTGAATGCGTACGACAAGAAAACGTGATCCTTGTACGTCAAACGCTGTGCTCAACGTTCTAAATAGGTTTTCCTGTCGCCGTCTTACCCTTTCTCAAATGTTGTGGGCGTTGATGCCTTCACTCACGCGAACCTGACTGTAACGCAGTCGTATGGTTTAGGTGTTGTGGGCTGTAGGATGGTGTGTTTAAAAGCAGGCGGAAACTTTTTATGAATCAACTAGTGTTTGGCCAAAATAAACTGTTGATTGATTGCCCAGCTCAAGGAAGTTTTCAGCTGAGTCAGTCGCGTGTCAAAGCCGCTCTGCTTATTTATTTATTCCTCCTTTGTGAAATGTCAGGGACTGTTGGTTGGACAGTTGCCCTTTTGGCTAATTAACAGCCACCACAATAACGGCCACACTCACAGCTTCGAGCTTCGAGTGCCCGCTTCTCTGCCTCTGCTGCTGTCAAAGTAAGGAAGCTGCGCACGTTTCGCGACCACACCGCGATTATGCAGCGCCAAGACAAGGATACACCCGTAGATAGAGGCTAAAAATAAATCACCGCTGCACGCCACTTACACATTATGGTTATGTGTAGAAGAAGAAAGTGCATAACTGCTGCTAATTTTAAATATCGGCAAAGTAGGTGTGAGATTTAAATTCGATTTATGTACAAAAATCTTGCTTCTGGATGTATACACCTCCATTGAATTCTGTGATTGAAATATACAAGTACGTATTATTCCTGATTGGCCTACGATTTATTAAGTTGGAGGTTTTGTTAAGCCTTTTAATATGGTAAACAAATATGTGTTTACTTTTTAATTTATTTATCGCTAATGTAACGTATGTGTGCTTAGAATCGAAGTTGGGAGTAGAAGCAGGAATTGTTAGAACAGAAATGAATGTCAATCATTGAAGTAAAGCAAATAAATTTTAAACTAAGTCAGGGCTTGATGGAAACTTTGTTGATGCATACGAGAATATTACTTAGAAGTCGGGTCAATTCCGGACACTTTTTTAAATCGTTGTGCTCCTAAAATTCGAAGCTATTGCTGTCACAATGATTAACTGCTGAAATATAAAGCTGTTCTCAGTTAAACTTTTTTAAGGAAAATGATTAATTAATGTCTTCAAAAACAAGAATTAATAACAATAAATATTGTTATACACATTGGTCTGCTGCTTTTATCAGCAATTATTCCAAATGGGTTCTAGTAGTCTGTTTTGTCGTACAAATAATAAATCACTTCTCTCGAATTAGTGTTCTCATATTTCTCTCGGTTTTTGTTTTTCACTTTAGATGGCAACGAACATTGAAATACCTAATCTTTTACATGGTTTTAAAATCGGGTATATTTTGTTGTTTGATATTACGAGATTATTTTATGAACCACTTTTGGTACATGGTAATGTTTGTTTAGAGTGAGGAATCCGTTTTACATTTGATTAGTTTCATTTTAAATACTATTTTGATATGTGAAAGAAATGTGGTGAAGTTGGTTTTGAAATCGGGCAATTTTGCAATTATCATATCATATGTGTATGATGCGTGCGAAGAGAAGAAAGACGCTATCAAGACTGATCAAGACGATGATGAATTTCGAAGATTCATATAAATATTTTATCAAATACTTTTATATTAAATACTATCAACAAAAGCCGCAAGTCTATTTCTTTAAAAAAGGTTATAAACCAAATGCCATATAGGTACATATATTATACAAGTATGTTTCGTTTTGAAACACTGAACTACTTCTGGTTCACGGTTATATTTGTTTAGAGTGCGGAATCAGTTTTCACATTAGATTTAATTTAAAATACTTATTTTTATAAAAGTAAAAAAATGGGGTGACGTTGGTTTTAAAATCGGGTATATTTTGTTGCTGTTTCCACATTAGATTAGATCCACTTGAAAGGGTTTCTTGCGCTGCAATGCTATCTGTCTAGAGCACTTCAATCACACCAGAGTCACGCACCGTGTTGTAGAATCAAAGGACAAGGACAGGTAACCATCACACAGCTGGAAGCTGGAGATCAAAAGCCTTCCCAAACTAGAGCAGTGGAGCAGACGGGTGGCAAATGTGATTGCGAATGTGTGGCAGTGTCACGTAGTGGCAACCTGTTGACCTGTTGCATTAGACTACGTGTGGAGCTTAGCTTTCTGTGGCCTGGGTCCAATACCCTGCAACGTGCCCACAAATTGAAGTAAAAGGCTTTGGCGTGATTGTTTATTTGCTGTTTCTGTTTATTGTTCTCCCGTCTCAGTCTTTTTGATTTGTTTCCCTCTCGCTGTGCTCTCAGCTCGAAATCAAAGCAAAAACGGCGTCAAAGACAAGGCGCCGATGCCAATGTCAAGTGCGCCATAGCGGTTGCTGTGGGTGTAATGGTAGCCCCCCGGGTAGTAATTGGCCGGTCTTGGGCCGTAGTAGTTGTTGTAGTATGGCGAGGGACCTGCTGCTATATAATGCGGCTGCGTTTGGTAGTTAATGCCAAAGGATACTAGAGGCTTCGCGCTGCCATGTCCCAAGCACAGGCCCCACAACAGCAACACCAACTGTAAGTGGTTTTAAAATGTTAATAAGAAGCACCAACCTGAGAAGGACTATGGTGATGGTTCGAACAACATACCCACAAATAAGTGCGCATTTTCTTGTTCTGATGGCTGACTTCTGCGTATTGCTGGGCCCTGTGTCTGCCCATGATCCTTTTATACATACTCGTACGTGGGCTCGGTCAGTAGGCCGGTTTGGTTGTTATTTGTTTGGCCAATAGCCGGCATCACATTACGTGCAACAACAATAACAACTTGCCTGACTGCCTTCGGCCACAGTCAGTCAGTCAGCCAGTCAGTCAGTCCTCTTAGCTTGTTTTGTGGCTGCTGTATCTCTCTGTCGAGACTGTTTTCCCTATGCGCCTCTTATTTATTATAAGTACGTAGTTTGCCACAAAGTTTTGCACTGATTTGAATACTGCGCAACAAAGTTTGAGTTTCTCTTTGACGCAGAACGATTACTTATTTATAGGATGTGCTGAGTAGGGTTTGACTTGGGCTTGGCAATACACATAAAATGCAATTGTCAGTTTGAGAGCAATATGATTGATTAGTTGATGCGTTTATGAATGCCCTAAAGCCTGGGGATATTGATGTGGGACAAAAGCATTATAGCGACAGTTTAATCCATTTAAATAGGTAAGAGTTAAACGTTAAGCAACTAGTTTCTAGTATACTACGAGAAAGGACTTTTATATAAATAGTGAGTTCGGTTATAAAGAGACTGATCTATCGACTTATCTCACTTTTCCTTTATTGGGGACTATTGAAGTCTTCTCGCATTTCGGTTTGGTGTAGAAATTGGAGGCGCTCCTTTCAGGCTTTAAATCATGTCTATGGGGTATTGCGTATTGGAACAGTTAATAATTGAGATTTTATAAATTGAACAAATGTTCTTAGCACAACTTGGTGTCGGTTCAAGAACTACCTGTTATTTGAGGATGCAATACAGAATAGTGTTTAACTAAACGAATACTTTGTTGTTTAGTTACATTTTTTGCCGCTTGCTTTGATATCGACTTAATAGTGCAATGGAAGCCTTGAACTTGCATGCAATTTGCGGATTGTTTATTTCTACTCGTCCTAAGTGGTCTTCCCCTCCTAGCTGAACTTGTTTACGACAAGCGGCATACAAGCCGTTGCCCCAATGGGAACATGAAGAAGAACACGAAGGAACGATTCTTGATATTCTAGAAGCAACAGAGATAAGTGCTCACAAGTCCAAGCCCCTTAAAGTGTCTCCTCATGTACGGCTTTGGCATGCTGTACTGAGTATCGATGGTAGTTTTAAATGGCACTGCCTGAGGCTACGTTGCACGAATGACGGGTAAATCTAGCTGATGATGTGTTTTTAGAATACTGTACCTAAAATTTAGATATAATCCATGCAGAGTTTTATACTGCATTTTTTGGATTATTAAATTAAGTCTACAACTTAATATTTATTGAAAACATTTTTGGGAAAACGATCACTAATTCAATGTCAATAAGGTATTAAGAAACCGTACAGCTATCGAATTGATATCAAGATTATAAAGTGGTATTACAAATTAAAAATGATGCTCTTAGCCCATACTTTACCCGCTTTAATCTATATTGATTGGTCGCTTCTTGCAGATAAAATATGTATGCTTGGCATTCAGACTTTTTATAACTTTCTTAAAAATGTACCCATCTTGATGAAACTTAACACGTGGACATATAATCAATAATTGGTGAAGTGAAGTGAAGTCAAGTAAAAATTCCAATAATGAACGATGTTATGGAAAGAGCAGAAAACACAAAAAAAAAACACGTACTCTCTCGTTCCTAGGAGATACCAAGTTTGGTCATTCCAGGTATTATACATTCTGAGATGCTTGCGTTCATACAGACAGACAGACAGACAGCCTTATATTGACTCGTCTTGTCTTTGTGGGGGCTGCCACGCCTCCTTCTGTGTGTAGCATACATTCGCACTAAGCTTTGTGCATCTCATGTACAGGGTGTACAAATGTGGCAAGTACTCGTAACATAATCCTGTATTAGTTCCCTTAAGAAAACTATAAGCCATATTAATGATACTATATAGTCGCCTACCCTCATTCCAAAGCTGTTCATTTGATTTGAAACACAAGTCATCAAGAAAATTCCTACAAGTACACTGATAGGAAAATGGAATTCAAAAGATAAAATAAATGCGTGCCATGTTAATACGTATTTCATTCTTTATATCAAGCACGACGTTCTAGATTCGTAGCCGTTTATACAACTCAATTAAATTGCTGTCAAAAAGAGATATAATAATAACTTAATAATTGTACAAGAAAAATGTAAACAAAACATGGTTTTCTTAAACTTGATATTGAAGATTGGCTACAAATTTTAAATTTAAGCTATTGTGATTAGAAACACACCCAATACTATACAAGTAGTATATGGTATATTATCGAACTAAGCAGAATTATTTGGATTTGATTACAAAGTTCTTGCCTTTTGGCCATTCTGATATACTCGTATTTTCTTTGAGTGCAGGCTTCCATCAAGTAGAGATATTTGATATTTCTTCCGAGAAAGCTAACGCATATGTAAAAGCTATTAAGTTTATTTGGGGCTTCTCACCAACAGCTTCCTCAGACATTGAGACCCACGTGTCTAGATAATGGTTCGCATTATCATAACCATACCCACGTATTCTATTTATGAGCGCCGCGCATAAAAACCAATCAAATATTAATTAATTATGCGATTAAATTATCGAGATTTTCATTAGCATTTGCGTATCGGATGCCACTGCCTCCCATAACTGGGCATGTGACCAGTCTCTGGTCACGTTTTGTGGCAAGAGGCAGGAGTAGAAACCAATAGTTGCCAACGCGGAAACGATGTGGTCGCTGAATCAGCTTGATCCTGGTGCTGGTGCTGATGCTGGTGCTGGGGGTCGCGTATAGGAGCTGTGTGGTTCTAGGTCCTTCTAAGGCTTCTCTGCTACTACCAATGCGTTCGCCGATGATGATGACGTGCGCTGGTGTCAAGCAAGGAACATGGGGCAAACTATCACATTTTTACACCTTCCATCAGGTGGGGATACGCATCCACTTGCTTCGAAGTTTACCTTTCGAATGGCGTTTATATATAGAGGCAAAGGTTAGGCCAGCACGGGTTCAAGGTGTGTGCACACGCTTGCATTGTGGGGTGGGGTGGGGTGTGGTTGAGAGTTCGTACTACCCTTGCTCGCAGGTTAACAACTGTAAACAAGGCAGAGGGTCATCCGATATGCCTAAGCAGGGACCGGTCTATTGTTCGGCAGCAGCGCTTTTAATTGTTTGTGTCAACTATTGGAGCGAGTTCAACAGACAGCGACCCGGTCAGTGCCAGAAATGGGATGCATTGTATTGGGCTATTTGGCAACAAAGGCGACAATGCAGTGCCGAGGCTTCTTATTCGTCCTATTCGTTCAGGGTCAAGACAACACACTGCTAGGGAAGTTGTTTTGATGGCCCGAACGGTACGGCCATTGACAGACGACGAAATGTGTGTGTGGAAAATTTCTTTTGGCGCGACTCCCGGTAATTTTTCTTGACCTGCAGTTCAAACAACTGGCCGTGTAGTTGACCACAACAAATGATTGCAAGCTTTATTCAAATTTCATTACTCTTTACAAGGATCTCCACCTTTAGTAAATATATTCGTAGCTGACGGGCTTGTAGTCGGTACGATACTGCTGCTGAAAGGAGTTCGGGGTCTCCACACTGTTGTACACATGCGATTGAGCGCCGGGCGCAATCAGGCGCGAATAGGCCAGAGGGACAACGGCAGCCGCAGTGCGTGTATAGCCCAATCCCGGTGCATAATAGCCAAGTCCGGGCGTATAGTACGTATACAGCTCATGGCTCAGAGCCAGGCCAAGCAAGCATACAAAAAGAAGCTGTACAGAGAGTCAAGTTATACTCGGGAACATCTCAATCGCTCATTAACTTTGGCTTACCAGCTTCATCTTCATCAAGTTTATTGAAGTTCTGAACGAAAACTAACTCCCAGCAGGCGCAGGCACTGCCTTTTATACGCTGCCGAGTTGGCCAGCAATGCAAGAAAAATAAATCCTTAATTCACTTTGCCCGTAATTGTATCTGCAGACTGCAATTGTTTAACTCAATAGCTGCGAGGTGCAGTCGAAAAATACACAATTCAATAGACATTTTCCGTATTTTTTTACCTTTTCCTTGATACACATAGTAAAAAATTAAGCGATATAAAGTTACATAACAGGGAAATGACAATTACACTCATGAAAATGTTTCTCGGACTGTATAGTATGAGGACCAGATCTTTATCTTGCAACTGATAGTGGCATCCATTAGGTATTATTGTTTGAAAAAAGCGAAGGTTTTCCAACAAGATTGCTGCGTGTCTGCCTTCAGTCCAAAATCAACCGACCAAGTAGTACGACGAACGGAATTTGTCGCCAGGCTGGGTTTGTTTTATTTTAGGGATATCTACATACTATTACTGCTTCTTGGCTTTTGAATTTACGATTTCAAACTTATCCAGAATCATTTTGCCAATGAGTTGACTGGACTAGATTTAAGAGTTTGGCACTATATAGTGCTGACTGGTCGAATAACTGCAACTGAACACTTGAATGCCTAATGGAAGAAAGTGGATTTTGGGAAGCATTCTTGCTCGATTTTCTTTTCTTTTAAAAGAAGGAAGCCTTTTACTCCCTTGGAAAGTCCTCATCAAAGTCTCTGAACTAACTCTGCAAGGTATCAACAAATGAATTATCATTGGCTTCTTTTCGAGCACACTCCTTGGAAACTAGAACTTGTTGGTCTGCCCTTTGGCCAGATTCAGTTTCAGTTTCAATCTGCCAGTGCCTGCCTCTATGCTTTACATACTTATTTACGAGTATGTGTATGGATGGGCACATGTTCCTGTCTTGCGTTCTGGATACTTAATTATGGAGATAAGCTCGAAAACATGCCACACAGATGGGCTGGTGGCGCAACTGGTTTTAGTGCTGCTTCCATTTGCCATTGGCATTGGCATTGCCATTGCTATTTGAGATGCCCATAAACGAGTACATAAGTAGAGACTGAGTTGCACTCATTGGGTTGTAAATATCTGTGAGCCCTGTAGCTGAACGGGGAAAGGGTATACTAAGAATTTAGAATGTGAGTAACAGGCAGACGGGGCATGGCAGGCTATATGTATAGGTATATCATAAAGATCAGATAGGATAAGTATCATAGAACTTTTGGACACTAACTGCCAAAACATACAAGTAAGAAGACAAAGTTGCCCACAAACTGTTTCTGGGCATTTTATTTTATAGTATACATATATGAAAACAAATCCCTTTAGGTATCAACATGTTTTAACGATATCGTAATACAATTAGGTTATGTATTAATTTATTCGCTACTTCTTAAATTCTAGTTAAAGCTATATACAAGTATAATATATGTCGCTAAAATTCGGGCTGTGCACAAAATAATCTTAGATAAATACAAGTATGTTGTTCAAGAGGTCTAAATATTCATTGACTTAAATGGGCCTGAAGGGTTTATTCTGCACTATATCTTTAATAGATAATGTGGGAAAGTGCTCTGATTGCACAATTAATGGACTGTGAGGGAAGCTGCGGGTTCAGGGTAAACCGGAGTCAGACTTCTGCGTTCTACTCATTGTTGTTGACGTTTTCTGTTGAGCCCTCTGCAATTTGTTGTGCCAGCGCTATTTGTCGATTTGGCCAAATAAACAATTAACTGCCGCCGAGGATGGGGCATTTCACTTGTACGCACTTCCGGTATTTCCCAAAGTGCTGCGTGCCTCCGAATTCAAGGTCAAGCCTAAACTGGGACTGTGGGTGTGTGGGTGTGTTTACAACTACGCGTTGGTAGGCAACATTTTGGATGTTGGTTTTTTTTGTCGTTGTTGTTGTTGTTGCTGCTGCTGCCCTTGAAAATGCGAAGCAGGCGAAGTGCGCCTTCCTCTTTTGTTTAGGCCCTGGACCCTTGATGAGAGCTTGTCTTCAGTTTGAAAAGTGTAACCGAAAAAGCAAACAACGCGCCCACGCCGAAATCAATTAGAGGAAGTTATTGTTTATATTACTTACAAGTATTTATGCAGCAGCATTGTGTGAATTGACACGCAACTGTTTTGCGTTCTACGAATTATTCGGGTGCTTCCAAGTTGTTTACTGTTTACGGCAATTGCGGCAATTGCGCGCTGCAAATTACGCATCGAGCTGCGGACCCTACGCACTTGCCACATCATACGAGTACTATACGTGCTGAACATGAACATGAAGATGAAAAAGATACTCGGCACAAATTGGAGATCTAACGTCGGCCAAGATTCTGCAGCAGTTGTCGGGTCGGGCATCAATGCAAGTGGAACGACCCACAAGTGCAGAGCAGTTTGCGGTGCGCTTTAGTTGTAATTCAAGACAGAAATGTCATTCACATTGCGAAATTCGAGCAAGAAAAGCCGCTTGGATGGACCAAGATGTCTTTGCACCCACCAAGGCTGCAGCTGGCGGCAATCGGCAATCGGCGTTCAGCATTCAGCATTGGGCGTTATATAAACGCACGGCTGCTGCATCGAGTCAAGAGTCTTCAACTGACAACCACCATCACTGAAAATGTTCAAGCTGGTAAGTTGAAGGATGGAGCCGTCGCAACAGCACCAATTGCAATTAAAATAGAAAAAGCAATTAAGTGTGATCCCTCCACAGTTCGTTCTGCTGTCGATGTGCGTCGCCTTCTCTTTGGCCGCACCTGGTCTGCTGCACTCATCCCCCATCTTGACAAGCGGCTCGATTCTCAGCGTGCCCAGCGTTCGCGTTGTGCAACCAATCCTGACCACTACCAGCGTTGTGCGGCCCGTCATTCATGGCGGATTGGGCCTTAACGGCGGATTGGGCCTTCATGGCTATGGCTGGATCTGAGGAGACCGCCAGTACAGAAGAAAAGTGATTGCCCTAGAAGGTCACATTTTGATGGCAGCCGCATGACGAAATGCTAAATAAATAGATTGCAATTGGCTTGAATATAAAAAATGTTTTCGTTTTATTTGTCTGCCATAAAAACAAGGCGACTTGTGCGCTATAAAATATGGCGTATCCCCTGGCTGAGCAGCAGTGTCCAGGCTGCATTGGCCGTGGAACATGTTGCCCGTAAGTAGAGTGAATAAGAAATCTGTCTATTCAAAGCTCAAAGCTATTTCCACACATAGCTGATGTGGGTTTGTGCGCTTCTTTTGCCATCGAACATGGGCCAGGCACTATATCTGCCTCTTCAGATTCCTTCGACTTATGTTATTAGGTATGGCAGAGCCATGTCCTCACAAATGGAGCCAATAGTCGTGTCAGTCGAAGCACTCGATGACGACGAAAGTGAATCTCTCGACTGGGTAGTAGACCCCAGCAAAGCTCTGCAGCCCAAAGACATCTTCCACGACGTGCAAAAATTCGTGGTGAAAATTTACGAGTTTGTGCAGCATCCAAAAGATTCGGCCTACAACGGATTCGCGTATAGCTTGCAACCCATTTTTAAGAAGCACAAACAGCACAATCAACAGAAACAGCAAGCGACTATCCACAAAGTGATGCTGGATCCTTTTGGCAATTTTTCATTTACACTTGGATTCTCATTAAACTTTCAAGTCAGCAACACCGTTGGCTTTACGAAAACCAGATGATAAAGGATGCTCAAAACAACAGCCGATATGAAACACATTCTTTTGATATGAGTACTTACAATTCAAAATTATCTGCGTCACATGCTTATTGAATAAAAGCGTACATCCCATTATTCTGGCCATGCAGTTAATTGTCTTCTCTGACACGACACGACAGGTCAAGTCCATTAACAACGGTAATGGCAAAAAGTCCCTTTGCATTATGGTTATAATAAGACCACAAATAAGACGTTGATAAGGTTATAAAAGGCATACAAATTTATTAATAGTTTGTAGTTCATTTTTCTTAAAGAAATACAACACTATTTGCGCTGCACATGGCTTCTTAGATCAAATCTTATTTGAGTTTCAACTTTAGGATCTTACTGAACACCCTGAGTAAGCCTAGATTATCTTTATTCATGCCATCTGTTTTACTTACATAGATGTTTGACAGAATTTGTAATGTTCGCTAACAAGTTTTTTGGTCGCACGTCGCATGCGTCCCATATAGAAGTTAATTGGAGAATTTCATAGGCGGCGCCGATTGACAATTCTACTAACGGGAAGGTTCTTACCTATATCCTAAATTTAGCTTTAAATATACCTATGTAGGAATGCAGGAATTAGGATAGAATTCCTGGAAACATAATTTCACATTCAAGAGGGACAAGCAACAAAGAAGGCAGTGTGAAGGCAGAAAAGAAGTAAATGAAATTGAATTTAATATATGAACCGTTGTAAATTAACTTTAAATACTTGTAAACTATCTTATAAACTATAACATACATATGCTTTTATAAAACGAAGTGTGTGTTAACTAAAGAGGAGAAACAGACGCCAACTTAGTATCCACAACTATAGGGGCTAATTTGGGAGGTTGTTACAATAATCCACAAATATGTTTTCCTTTTAAAAAACCACTCCCAGACCCACTCAGAGGTTAATTCTTGCAGTGCACAAAACGTTTGTATACTTTTAGGCGAACACATGAAATTTTGCGAATAATAATGGCAACAATATTTAGCCACTTCTGATTATTTATTCGTATGGTCCGTTTCTGTTTAATTATATAAACAAATAAGGCAAAGTCAATATCAGTTGTGCTCTTCTACTATAAAAGCGCCCCTGGTCGCCATCGTTGCGTGGCATTACGCATCCGCCACCGCGTACAACAATTGGGGCACTGAACAACACATTTTCTAAATTTAGAATGACACGCTCTATTGTTTAGTGGCTCTATATACTCCCAGGCGCATCCAGGAACATGTGAATGTACAGCTTGTCTGCCATTGAGGCTGTCATTTCCGCACCTGAGTAATTAGCAGCGATTGTTCAAATTATGTATTGCTTCTATCGGATAATTCAGCTCTCTTGTGTGAACAAGCCTTGTGGGGACAGATTATTTATGTGTTAAAGCCTGACGAATATTTTTTCCTGAAAATGTAAGGCAATACTAAGCAGGAAGTATTTTTAAAACGTTTGATCTCTCATTAATAACGTCATGATAAATAATTGCATAATATATACTTATAATTTTAAATTCGAACTCAAACATCTATCTGTGCCATTCAACTTTCCCATTTCTATTTATATTTCTGATATCTTCTTATATAGCAGATACATATTTTTTTTCCTGTGGTATGAAATAATGTTCTGATCGAACTCAAGCTATATCCTTCTGTGAAATTTCAATTTATTTTTCATGCAGTGGGTTGATTAACCCTGATTGTTGAAATAGTTGCAAAAACAAAGAAGTTATTGTGAAATTCGATTACTAGTTTTACATTTAAAGGACTCGGCTGATTTTGGAGACTAATGGCAGTTTGTTAGTCGTCGATTAGTCTCGTCATTACAAAAATATACTACGTATAGTAGTACTAAAAATTCTATGAATTGCAAAAGTACAATTTGAAGTCAATTCTCAAAATGAATTTTTGCAGAATCTCCAACGAAACTCTCAGTTCTCATTCTTATACTACTTCCTAAGTTCATGGTCTATTTAAATTATTACCAAGAACAATATACGAGTACATCGCAGTGGTTATGCATACAAAACAACTGATTGTTTGTTTTTCTATTCGTCACATTATTTTATTTCGCAGAATTTTACAAAAATGTTCGCAAACCGTTTTCAGCTGCTGTAGTCGTCAATGCCAGTCCTTCAGCCTGTTCCTCACTTACGGAGCAGGAGAGGCGCGGTGTAGGCGGCGGCATAGGGCGAGGCAACATAGGGGGAGGCTACATAGGGGGAGGCTACATACGAAGAGGCCACATAGGGCGAGGCGATGTAGGGCGAAGCGGCGGCGACGTACGGCGAGGCTGCAACGTAGGGCGAGGCGGCTACGTAGGGAGCTGAGTAGGCCAGAGGAGCAACAATTCCTGGTTTGGCGGCAACGCAGGCAACCAGAGCGAGCACAACAATTGCGATGAATTTGAACATTTTGCTGATTATAGTTTGTTGGTTTACTTTTGTCGATGGAACAATTGTAACTGATGCTAAACCAAGTGACTAGCTGCCGTTTATATACTCAAGTGAGACATGAACTTTGCTGGCCCAAAAAAAATCAAACCAAAAGTACACTCGAGGTCGGTTTGGTAGGTTGGTAACCCAACACAAAATCTGCATGCCAGGCACGTGCCGCTGGACAGTCACAGTTATAAACGCTACTGGTTGGTGATAATTATACGCATATTTAGCTACCGATGTGTTTCTTCAACTGTCTTCCAACTAGCGAGGTTAACACGCGCGAAACTCAAGGCTCCGCCTAGGCAGAAGCAACAGTTAGTCGGCAGTAGTTATTGCAGTACCTATAAATTGTCAGTACAACGTCTTAGGATCATCAGTTCAGCTTCGTCTATCCAAAGCCAACAACCAGCAACATGTTCAAGTTCGTCGCCATCGTTGTCTTCGCCCTGATTGCCTGCGTCGCCGCCAAGCCCGGCATAGTGGCTCCGCTAGCCTACTCCGCTCCTTTGGTGGCCGCCGCTCCCGCATCCGCCGTCTACTCCCGTGAATACCACGGCAACTTTGCAGCTCCGTATGTAGCAGCAGCAGCTCCGTATGTCGCCGCCGCTTCCCCCTACGTTGCATCTCCATATGTGGCTTCTCCCTATATTGCCGCCGCCTCACCCTACGTTGCTGCTGCGCCTTATGCCGCCGCTCCAGTGCTGCTGAGAAAGTAAAGAGTGTACAAGAAACCCGACTCCCAAATAAAACAATCAATCTATGGAAAACAGAAAGAAAAATCGTCTCTTTTTTACGCCTCGTATATTCACTTCTGATAGATGTCTGTCTCGGTTCAAGGTCTTTGCTATCAATATACAGGAAGTTTCCGTTGGCGGGTTATCTTTATACACATAAGGCGCCTCATACATGTACGAATATATGTATATGTGTATGCAAAAAATATATGATATGTATATGCATAAATTGTATGTTCTTGAACGTCACACTGATAAGCGAAACTAAAGCCATTCTTTCCTAACGATTAGTGACTTGGCCTTTGTCCATTGCCATACACAATTTATAGGCAAGACGGAAAATTTCTGATCAACTGCACAGAGAAGTGCATGCAATTTAGGTCTTTAGAATATTTCTTCAATTATATAGTCGAGCAAAAGAAGAACATACTTGTATATATTTTCTTCGAATTAATGTAGCTTTAGAATTGTCGGTAATGTTGTTGAAATTGAAGACAGGAGGGGAAACGCTTTTATTGCCAAAGGATTGGAAAAGTATACAATTTCGGTTACTGTGGGTTCACCTGTTTCCGTGATGAAGCACTCATCTGGCCATGCTGATCAAGAATATATAAGGTCGTAAGGTCGATGTTGCTTTCTTCTGCACATTACATACATTTCCATAAACATAAATGGAAATTACCTTACATTCTTCATCCATGCTCTGCGAAAAATTGTTTAAATCATTACTCTTTTCTTTGAAGTCGATTTATAGTATTCCATTTCACTTTATGCATTTTTTAGGGAACAATCCACATATTTTATTTCCAACAATATTTTATACATTAATAATTAGGGAAGTCATTTTGCACACATGCATGTCTATTGAATGTTTGGTCGCCTCAATCCAATGTCAAATTTGTATCCATAGTTGCGTCCGATTTGAACACAATGCTATTGCGTTCATAGCGACCCGAGCGTCGAACCTTCCAATAACGCAGCGCCACCATGGCCACAAGGCAGAGCAGCAGCATTGTGCCCAATATATAGAAGAATACCTTCATGAACAGCAAGTGAAGCTCCAAATTGTGGGCGTGTGACTGCAACAGCTCCAATTGTCGCGTCAGCGGGTCCTGGGACCTTTGCAGCTTCTCATTCGATGGCTCCGGATGGAGGCATGAAACGTCACGAATGTGAGGTGTCTCCTCCGTACTGGGGTCCGGTTCAATGTGCAGCGCAACCGTTTCTGCCAGATAGGGAGGAATGAGCAAATGGTGCAGATACGAGCAATTAAATCGGTTGCGAGAAACGCCCAACTTCTGTAGCATGGGAAAGGTACTGGAGAGGCTGCGGTTTCCATGCAGCTCGCTGAGGGCGTTGCCGTCAATAAAGAACTGTTTCAGGTTGGTTAGGTATGGCACGAATAGGTCCAGGTTGAGGCTGGTCAGATTGTTGAAGGACAGATCGAGTATCTCGAGGTAGTTTTGTTTCGAAAACATGCCGAACTGTAGGGAGCGGATGCCGATATGTCGCAGATAAAGACTGCGGAGTCGCTTCAGGTTGTCGAAGGTGCTGATGTTTAGCGGACCAATCGGATTGTACGACAGATCGAGATATAGCAACGCCGATAAGCTGGTTATGTTTGCAATGTTGCTCAGATTGTTGCCACGCAGCTCCAGCGTGTCCAGCTGCGATGCCTGCTGCACGAATATAGCGCTGATATTGTTGTTGTTGGCGCGCACAAAACGGGTGCCATTTATGGTGAGATTGGTTAAGTGGTTGTTGTCCAGCTGCAATTGATGGACGATGCTCTTGTTGGTGAGCTGGAAGGCATAGAGTTTGTTTCTGGCTAGCAACAGACTCTCCAGACTGGCTGCCTCAGTGAAGGTGTCAGGATGGACTTGCAGGAGCTGGTTGTTGGACAGGATTACTTCCTTGATGCGTCGCATGCGACTAAACACTTCCGGCTCTACATAGGTCAGCTCATTGGCCTCGAGGTTAACGGACTCCAAGAAGGCATTGTCCTTAAAAATATCCTTGTGCAGCTCACTAAGCCTATTGCCGCCCAACTGCAGTTTGTTCAGATTGTGCAGCCCACAGAAAGCATTCTCGCTCAAAGACGATATCTGATTGTAACTCAAGTCCAGCCGCATCAGCGTATTCGCTCCAATGAACACAGAGGTCTGCAGCGAAGTCAGATTGTTGTAACTCAAATTCAGGTAGGTCAGGTTGCTGGCCGAGCTGAAGGTGTTGCGCGTCAGCTCGAGGATGCCGGTGAAGGAAACGTCGAGTGTGCGCAGATTCGCAAAGGTCTCGAACAGATGGAAGGGCAGGTAGAGCAGTGTTGAGTCGTAGAACTTCATGAACATGACCGAATTTTTTCCGGACCACGAATTGTGCAGCACCACGTTCTGACTGTGCGTAACCGTAAAGCCCGTGACCGTGCAGTAGGGATCGCCCAGATCCAGAATTAAATGCTTGTCGTGCTCGTCACAAACAAGGTTCACATCACCCGCACCAACCAATCTGCCCACAAAAAGCACGAAAATCGCGTTTATTATTCGCATTTTGAACCAGAGGCGGCAAACGTTGCACGCAAACTGTTCAATGGATTTTTGAAACAAGATGATGTACTCCTTCTGGCAATACTCGCTAAGATTTATCAAAAATAAATATATATATTATATTTTAAGCTTTTTGTCTGCAGATACACCCGCATATACATTTAAGTCTGTATATAGTCTGCGGTCCAGCCGGCTTGATAAAAAATGTCGGCCTTTTTTCATACCCTGTAACCAAAAGGTAAAGGTATACTACTTAGTTAAGTGCGAATGGATGCCACACACAAAAGGAGGCAGATCCCTAAAAGTATATATACATATTGATGATAAGCATGACAAGTCCGTCTGTCCATTTCTCCGTCCGCATAAACGCAAGGATCTCAAAAAGTATTTGAGCTAGAATAATAAACCTCGTATCGAGATTTTCCCAAGTCCAGAAACGAACAAATTCTTAATTTTTTTCCCCTGATGCACACCTACTCCCCGCAGTTGGAGATTTTTCACGAGTCCAGTAATTCTTGAAATTAATACTTAAATTTACTTACAATTTACTTTACAATTGCTTGTGGTAACTGCTTATTTCAATTGTAATCGTGATGGGTCATGAAAGTCCAGCACTGGTCAGCACTGTATTATTATTTTTTAAATGCTTTCTCTTTAATCTTTTTTTTTTAAGATCTGTCCAGTTTTAAGTACAATTATTAAGCTTGCAATTTCACAGCTTCAGCCATGTTAGTTGCCACATGATCCGAACCGAGTGCCTAATCAGAAACAAACTCACATTGTGGATACAGGGTATTAAGGATTGGGACTGCCGGACTCAAGTATTCCATTCTTGTTTTTAAGCTGTTTGTTTTTTGCAAGCTACGCTTCAAACTCTGATAATTTTATTATTATTGTTTTCATTTGTTTTTGGTCCGTAATGAGTTGCAATAAGTGCGAGCAAGTAAATAGGAACAGAATATAAATAAAGGCATCATGAATGGCTTGGCGGCGCTTCTTGAGCTTGAAAGATAAGTCAGATACTCGTATATACATGATTATAGTATATAAAGTGTATTTTTTAAATAATGGAAAGATGTAGTGCATTGACTTTTTGGAGATTAATTATTCCAATCTGCTGCCCCAATTCCATTGTTTAATTTTATGCAATATGCAAATGTTTGTTGTTAATTTAACAACGATATGGCGGTTATTTAAGCTATGCCATTGATAAGCTAAGTCACAACAATGGAATTAGCGAAAGAAATGATTTAAGATTGAGAAAGAAATGTGTGGACTTTCCAGAGAAATAGGAAATATAAAATCATGTGATGAATCAAAGTACAATGTTTTTTTTAGAAGCCTCAAGCTTATGTTTGTCGGCATCAAAATAAATAGTTAGGTTTTTTTAAAATAGCTTTTAAAATCTAGTTTTATTTATTTAATAAAAAGAATGAGTGTAGTGCTTGTTGGAACTGAACTATATTTGATTCTTACGAGGCACAAACGTTCTCTTAAAATGGTATTGACTGGACTAGTCCATTAGAAATGTCAACAGCATCAGCGATGTCTCTCGTTGTTAATCAACGATCTTGGGGCACCAATTCTTTGGATTGCTTCACGAATGGTTCATTAGTTGATGTTGGGTGTGGTTCGATTTTAACGCTTTTCTGACATAATTTGCTTATCGAAAGCCTTTGGCGTCATTCCTAACGTTAGTTATAGTTTCTGAGATCTGTATAGGTGTTCAACGGACAGACTGACAGGGCAAAATCCACTCGTCTGGCTTTGTACAACCCCAATATACTCTTGTACCTCTTAGGTACAGAATATAACAAGTCTTTAGGGTCTCAAGCATGGCTGTGTTGTCAAAAAGTAATTTAGTTAGCATTTGTTTCATTAAAAAAAAAAAGAATAAACCCATTATTTTCGAGATCAATTTCACCAATAATTGCAAAATTCTAGTTGGAAAACAAAATATGCAAATATGGATGAAAAACAAGAGCATAATTTAGATAAGCAATTCAGCGACTAACACTTTGCATAACTGTATGTCTACAACTAAAAGAGGAAGATTGGAACGAATTCTAAGAAATTGTGCAAACATGTCCATTTGCCATTAGCGTGTGCTCTGCTCTGATTATCCAAAAACATGTATCAACAATTGTGGTGTTGTTTTGTTCGGCTCGCAATTATGGCAAAATACGCAAACACGGCCCAAAACCATTGCATAAATAAATTGCAGTGTTGTGCAGGCAGTTGAAGTGCCAAGTGACCTTCAATATGCAAATCCCATGCAATCCGATTAAATGCATGCAACGACCTGCTGAGTGACGTGCAGGAGATGTGGGAGTGGAGCTTCGTGTTGGTGTGTGTTTGGGCTTAAGCTGTGGATCTGCCTTTGGGCAATGTGGCTGTCAATAACTTGGAAATGCCAACATATGGAAATTTCATTGATTTCTGGCCAAATGTGTCACGCGGCAGTGGGCGGCCAAATGATTCAGAGTGCGTTGGGTAATTAGCGCGACACTGCAGAAATTTCAAATGGCAAGTGATCAGTCGCCTAGGCTACTGGTTGTTAAGACAACAACAAGACATCTACAGCGACAACGACAACGACAGCGACGACAACATTTATGGGCTCACAAATTGGGACGTGCTCGAAATTTTCTAGTGAAGACCTCACTCCAGTTGAATGGAAGTATGCAGGGGGCCGTGGGCAGCCGAGCAAAATGACGGGCACGTAGCCAAGAGCCAGCGATTTGGCACTGAGAAACACCTCGGCTGCTACTGCGCTTTGCATTCCTATGCGAAACAATGTATTTAGTTGGCCATAGAACAAAATGTGCACTGAATTCAACAAGCCAACAAAAAAATAAAAAAAGCATAAATAAATTAGGCGCATCAACAACAAAGAGCCGCTTTCGTATCCAACTGGACACTATAAAAGTTTCAGGCCCGTGCCAACAATCGTATAGTCAACTTTTGTAGCTCAATTTAGCCACACACAACCACCAAAACCTCCAGCCACCACTCAAAATGTTCAAGCTGGTGGGTAGTCTGAGCTGAGCTGAGAATAAGTCAGCGAGATCTTACTAATTTCTCATTCCATTTTACAGTCCGCCGCCATCTTTGTGCTCTGCGCCATCTTCGCCTGCAATGTGGCCGATGCCAAGCCCGCTGTGCTCGCCGCTGCCGCACCCGTGGTTGCCGCCCCGGCTGCTGTGGTGACCGCCACTAGCTCGCAGTATGTGGCACGCAACTTCAACGGTATTGCCGCCGCTCCCATCGTAGCCGCTGCGCCCGTCGCCGCCGCCTACACCGCCCCAGTTGCCACAGCCGCTTACACCGCCCCTGTTGCTGCTGCCGCCTACACAGCACCCGTAGCTGCTGCATACACCGCACCAGTGGCTGCTGCCTATTCCGCCCCTATTGCTGCTGCCTACTCCGCCCCCGTTGCTGCTGCCTACTCCGCCTACCCCTACTCCGCCTATCCATACGCTGCTGGCTACACAACATTTGTCTAAGGAATTAATCTAACTGCCCAAAAAGGACGCTTTCGAATGAAATAAAATGAAGTAACACAACAGAAAGGCAATTTGTTTTAATTCAAATGGGCTTAAATGATATCCACAAAGAAAAGTACCGCAATTTGGGGGCACAAAAGGTGCTCTTGAAAGGGGTCTTTGAATGATCTAAACGTGCTCTTTAAGATGTTCAGACTGACAAAAAAGTAAGACATTTAAGTCTTCAATGTCTTTAGCACTATCTTACAAAAAGGGCCCTTTAGAAACGTTACAGCGATAAGTTATCTAAAATATTATCTTTGTGCTAACGATATATCCCATTCGAAGCTACTATATAGTACTAAAATAGATCTCCCATAGTCAGCGATATGTGATTAGTTTTGTTCCTAGTTTTCACAGTAATAATTTTCTCCATTTTGGTATATAAAAAAAATGTCGTTACATGACGAACGAATTGTGTATGTCTGAAGCATTGGGAACATTGAAAATGAAATTCTTGAATATATATTTTCCTCATGAATAGTACATTTAAAAGATTAGTTTAAACCCCACATACGGATCAAATATTCCTCCTTTTTATAAATTAATTCGAAAGTGCTTTTATTCTTTGAGAAAAATAATTGATAGATGTTCTCAGAGGCCACAGAAGTCAATAAAAAGAGCAAACTAAAAACATGGAAAGTCATTGATTTTGAAATACTAATCCGAATTTTCAGAAAATCAATAATTCGTATTTCAAATGCTTTCTTTCTTGAAATAACAACAAATCATTAATTTCGAGGCAATAGTAGGCTCAAGAGAATGCGGATATCAAGAAAGAAGCTCTTAAATGGGTTACGTCATTAAATAGTTTTGCATTTCGTTTCGATTAACTACACAATGTAGACAAATAGTGAAGCATTATGAGGATCGTCAGCATGAAGAGCACGTATATTTTCAAATATGTGACCAATGAACTGCGTCAAATAGAAGTAGAAGCATCTGGACAAAAATAATAATATTTATTTATAAATAAAAAACAACAAGAACTTGATAACGATCTCAACAGCAACAGCAACATTTGTGGGTCATGGCGCGTAATTTTAGAGAAGATACGGGTCGCAAGCAACTTTCCTGCAATGTCGTTGTGTGTCCACTTAGGCAGCATTTGGGGGAACTACCAGCAGCAGCTGCCGATGGGGGTGCCCGATGGAGTGGGAGGCGCTGTAACGCCCGAACGGCAGCAGCGCAGCTTGGTAGAACAAGGGATAGGCGGGCGGCGGTGCAAAGCCGGCAAAGGCAGGCATCGGTTGCATGGGCATTGGTGGCGCAGCACGATGTTCGGGCGGCACATCGACCTCCTCGGCAGCATTCGGTATATTGCCCGCAACTGCAGCCTGCAGGCGAAGGACAAGGAGGAGCAGCATCACAGCAGTTGGCACCATTCTGTCGGGCATCTGAAATTTGCGTATAACTCACTAAAACGACAGCCGACAGTCCGCTGATTGCGGCCTTAACGGGGCCATCAGCATCCTCTCCATCACCATTATCAAGTAATCGTTCCTCTCGCTGACGCTTGAAACTTACTAATTTCTTGTACATTCTTTAGGCTATTATCGCTTCTGATCTGAGCGCGATTCGTTTGGCAAATGAAGCGGCCTGCACAGCAGTGACTTAGCTTTATAAATTCTCAGCGTATTCGTATCTCAGACAGTGGGTCACAAACTGTGCTAGCCAGCCTTCTAGACGCACCGAATATGGCGGCAGTCAGTTCCTAGTCAGTGCTTCAGAAGCGCTTCCATTAGCATGCAAAGCATGTGGAATTGTTAAGTCGCATTTTGTTTTTGTTAAAAAAATAAGCAGACGAATAATAACTGCCTCTGCCGACGACATTGGGGAACGAAACTAAAAGTAAACTGCCGCCAAAGTACTCGCAGCTTTGAAGATTCTCCAACAGTTCGATCGGCCGCTGAGTCGTTGACTGCCATAGCCTTAGCGTCAATTAATAATACATATAGTATATCGTTTGTCCAAATTGGCAAGAGCATCTGCCTGACTTCGCAGCCTGTATACTCGTAGACTGTACTCTACTAGCCTGGCCTGGCCGTGCATATTAAATTGCGTTTACCTTCGACGCACCATGGGCTAGGGTGCCCATTAGTTGTCTGTCTTTTCGTTTTGCCCAGACAATTGCTATATAAATTCGCACATTTCCAGCTGTAGACATCAGTCAACGTAGAACAAACAGCTCGCTTAGTCAAGCCCTCAGTATCAGTACCACAAACAAAAACAACAAAATGTTCAAATTTGTAAGTGCGCAAGGATTTAAATAAAATACAAGTAGCAATGATTATTGCAAAGTGCGAATGCCGATAACTAACTGTGTGTGTTTTTCAGTTCGCTCTCTGCCTGTTCGCCATTGTCGCCTGCGTGGCTGCCAAGCCCGCCGTCGTGGCTGCTCCTTTGGCTTATAGCGCCTACAGCGCCTACTCCGCCCCCCTGGTCGCCTCACCTTACACCGCCGCCTACACTGCTGCCTACACTGCGCCCGTCGCTGCTGCCTACTCCGCATATCCTTATGCCGCTGCCTACTCCGCTTACCCTTATGCCGCCTACTACCGCTAAGCACTAGAAGTGACTGGTTCGGCACGGCTTTTGGCTAAAAGGACACAAACAACAACAGCAGCACCACTTCATTCCTCAGTGCACCTCCGTTCATACTTAATATGCCTCCGTGAACATTTCTGTTCTACCAATAATCATTTCAGTTTGTTATGCAGCCCTAGGCTCTTAGCTATTTACTATTCGATCGTTTTCAACAGTCAATCATTCATTTCCTTAGTATTAGTTTAGCAGCTTGCTCTGCTAAAAGTGACAAACGAAGGACTATACAAAAATATTACTGTTTAAATAAATGCATTTGCGTAAAACGTATGTAGATATTGGCTTATTAATTAATTTCATGCAATGCCTATTGAAATAATCTGTGCATAAGGAAAAGAGGAAATTTCCAGTCTAGACACTTCAAGGACTGGCATATCAGTTTTCAAAGACACACATCATGACATCCATCACCCAATTAATAGCATACAACAATAATTAAATGATGGCAAACATTCGCAATTCAGTCTGGCTTTGAAATTCTAAATGTTTCTCTCCATGTAATAATGTAATGTATATATACAGATATTGATGTATGTATGTTAATTGTAATTTCAATAATTACGCAATTGATTGACGTTTTCAATGTCAAAGGCATTTTTAATTGATTTTGAATAAATAAATGCAATTGCTCATCTAACAACTCGAACCTATATTCATTTGTGAAAATGATGCTGAAAATCTCCTTTCCCGAGGACTGAATAAAAAAAAACTGAGGAAATACTTTACTTTTAATGAGATGCTAGCTTTCCCATCGGGTCTGGAAATGCCGCCCCTAAGAGAGCTTGTTAAGCATTTAGAAAAAGAATACTACGAATGGCAGAATCCACTTGCAAGTACAAGTGCATCATCCCGACGTAGACCTAGGGCATACCGATTTGGGGATTGGCTGCAGCGTCGCTACAGACGCTCCAGAATAAGGCCTTACGGTCTATTACTGGGTGCGATGCCATACTAGCCGCTGCAATGACCGGTTGTTGAACCATTTACCGAATAGGCTGGTCAGGCCCCTACCTGATGAACCCCCAATAAAAAATATTAAAAAAAAGTATTTTGTGATGTAGAAACGTCAATTCTTCCAACTAGGAGAATTTTCTTAAAGATTAAAATCCCCACACACACAATTGGTATTTTCATACTCTGTATCTAAAATATATAAATATGTGTATTATACAAATACGAAAATGTACGAGTACACGTTGAAGTTCAACATTTTCTATCTCCAAGAGCAGATGTGGCGAGGAGATGTATAAATGAACTGAATTTAGTTTTAACTTTGAATAATGCACAAAATACAAGTATATGTATGCCCTTTTTAATTATCTTTATTTAAAAATTGTACTTCTTATCATTATTTTTGTGTGTTTTAATTTACTTTAAATACTTGAAGCTGTGACGTAATAATACGCTCAACAAGTAAAAAAGCTAAAGTCGGGTGTCCCGACTTTGAAATACTCTGTACATATGTTTACAATAATTATAGAAAATAAAAAAATTAAGAAAATTAAAAAAAAAATGTTGACCGATTTTACCTCTCTCGGTATTCGAACTCATGTAAAGGGTTTATAATTGCACATTTACATAGCAATTGCGTCTGTGTGAGTGTATGTATGCCTATGCGCATCTATGTGTCTGTGTAAACATGTATGCAGTGAACCAAAGCACCAGCATCAACAACAGTCGCGGGCAGCGCTTGAGCAGCGCTGCAGCAGCAAATATATTTATGGCTATAACTTCTTGTTAAATCGGTCTATCATAATGAAACTTGGCACCAAAAAAATAAAACAAACTCGTATAGAATACACACATAAGGCATCTTTGTGCAAAATTTGGTGTCTCTATCTCTTATAGTCTCTGAGATCCAGGTGTTCATACGGACGGACAGACGGACAGACAGACAGACAGGGCTAGATCGACTCGTCTCGTCATGCTGATCAAGAATATATATACTTTGTGGGGTCTGCCACGCCTCCTTCTGCCTGTTACATTTTTCAGCTCCCGCAAACCTAATATACTCCTGTACATTTCATGTCCAGAGTATAAAAATGTATGTTGCTGGAGGCATACATTTATGTTTACAGCATGAGTTCTTTTTATTTGAAATTGAGAATAGACTCGAAATTGCATAACTTCCCAAGAAGCTCTGGAATGTCATTAAAAAGCTGTCAGTTTCCAAAAACAACTCACAATTTTGACAGAGCTAAGAAAATAGCATCTCGTTGTTGATTGCTTCGCTGCCCTTTTTCTGTATCATGTTACTATTATTAACTTGTTCTGCTTAAAATGCAAAGCCGGTCGCCTTCAATTGAAAATAAAAGTAGGCATTGATTGCCGTCGCTTCGCGATTGCAGGCACGTAGTCTTGTGAAGCATCGAGAATTTTTATAATATAAAGTGCGAAGAAGTATTCACCTACTGAATTCTACACTTGTACGAGTACGATGGAGGGGGTTAGGTTCCGGAATTGCGGAAATGACTAACACTTCCAACATTGCCATACATTTTTATTATTAAGCCCACATTAAAACGGGGTATGCAGGCAGCCCCAAAAATTAAAGCACGCGTAAGCTGGCCCTGATTTGCGTGTACGTGATGTCAAAGTTTCAATTATTCAGTTCAGTTCATCGGTAGGCAAAACGCTACTGACCATGCTTAGGTATGTGTTTCGCTTAAGCCAAGGATGCACGCGTCTCTCGCTTGACTTTTGGGTATATAAAGCAGAGTGCATCGAAAAACCGACATCAATCACCAGTCAAGCTCCATCAGCTCAACTTCCAAAAACTCAATTAGCAAAATGTTCAAATTTGTAAGTGCCACCTGTGTTTTTTTTAAGACTAGTCAAGCCTATATTCAAAGTCTACTTTTTCATTCTACCACCAGTTCGTTATCTGCTTGAGCGCTCTGTTCGCCGCTGTTGCTGCTAATCCTGGCCTGCTGGCCACACCAGCCGCCGTTGCCACTTACAGCGCCCCACTGGCCTACACAGCCCCTGCAGTCGCCGCCTACACAGCCCCTGCTGTTGCCGCCTACACTGCCGCCTACGCCCCCTATGTGGCTCCATATGCCAGCAGCTACAGCGCCCACAGCGTGGCCCACAGTGCTGCCTATCCAGCTGTCTATGCCGCTGCCCCCGTCGTTCCCGTGTTGAAGAAGTAATTCGATAAATAAATGCATCAGTTCCATCCCACGCACTGACAAGTAGATAAATACAAGCGTGTTTTATTGTTACATTCGCCCTATAACTAAAGAGTCAAGTAGTTTTCCACATCACAACTCACCTAAGTCCGCCTAGAGCCTGATCTCGCGTTAATCTTTAAGATTTTGCGCTTTGAAGAAACCATTTGCGCATTGCGCCGCCATGTTTTCGGAAACTTTAAGCTCTTCATACAACATTTCCAACATGTTTGTCCAAATATCGCTGACATTAATTTATTCACTGATTCGCAAGATCAATTTTTAGTGGCGCTTTGGAGTAAGAAAACAATTCAACGCGAGTTTGGGCCTAAGGAAAATTACAACGAAATTCGTAGACTGATTTATCAATTGATTAGGCTTGGTTTTAAAAATTTGTAAATAATTCGCATACTGGATAATTATTTAATGTAGTAGGAATCAATTTAAAACGTAAGAAACAAATTTTGATTTAAATTCCCAACATTTTCACTAATAATATGAACATTGATTTGTTTTATCAAAAATGGAAAAATAAATAAATAGTTGGGCAAACGGATTTCCAGATAGATTCCAATAGAATTATTGATACTATGTAAATATGAGATATTATTATCCATTGAAAACAATCGACATAGCAGTATAAGCAAAAAGAAAGCAAGACTATTAAAAAAAAAAAAGATGAGAAAACCAAGTAAAGTATTCAGACTATGCAAGTGGGAAAAGAGTTAAATGTGTAAAAATTGTACCTGCATCTAAGGAATAGCTGTATGCCATAATATTGCACTTAGAAAGAGAGTAGTTCTCAGTTTTCTTTTATGTTATAAATAGTGTGCAATACAACAAGTGTGGCGTATCACCTGTAGTGTAGATCAAAAATACTGACCAATCAAAAATGATTGCCTGAATAAAGCTTTAATATTTATCCTATTCCATTTCAATGGAATATAACCCATATCCACGCATTCTCGGTTATCTGGTTCTTGAACTTTAAAGCTTAAAACAACGTAAAATACAGACTTCAAACGACTAACGGTTGAATTTCTCTTTTGGAAAATATACCCTCTACTCACACACCACAGGGTATTGCATAAACGGGCACTCTCGACTATCTTGTTCTTGTTACTTCACATTTTGATTCATCTCCTCGCCTTGCGTTGGACGTGCCTTCTTGCAGTTCATTCATCCTGCCACGCTCCAGGGCTTGCCTTTTCAATTACGCGTAACTCTGTGTCCCCATCAGTACCCCCGGCCATGTCTATAAATTTAATTGAAAAGTGTTGAGTTCTTCATTGCGTGTGTCCGCCAATGCGTTAGTTGTTGTTGTTATTGCAGTCATTGTGCTGGTTGTTGTTGCTGCTGCTGCTTTTGCTGTTGCGGCAACAGCATTCAATTAAAAATTGCCGCTTAAATTGCATTTTGCTAATCGTAACAATCAATAAGCTCGACTGCATTTAAATGCACGCCAATTCATTTAAATACGCCACGCCTGCCTCTCAAATCAAGTACATTAATCATACGCCGCTTGATACCACCGAACGAACTAACCGAAATATTAAAATTTTAATTCCATGGCGCTTTGTTGGCTGTCTTTAAATTAAATCAAATTGCAATTACTAGTCTCTGAGTCACGTTTCCACGCCACTTCCACCACTTCTAACAACAACAACAACGAGTTCTCTTCTCAGAACTTCACGTGTTACTTTTGCGTGCTCTTTTCGCATTTCCGTTTCCCACAAGGGTTTCGCTCATTAAAGTGCTCGGAAATGCTGTGACACTGCTTCGACGACCCCCTCCCCTCGCCTCTCACTCTCTTCATCCGCTCATTGACTTTAATTATTGCTCTCTGCTCGCTGGCTTGCAATTTTGAAAAACAACTTTTATACAAGTATTGTTCTTGTTGCTGCTTGGTGTTCGGTGTCGTATTTGTTAATCAATTGCTATTTTGAATTTTGTAGGCCTAGATAATAATGCCAGCCCGTCAGTGCATGCTGTGCTGGCTAATTGTTGTCTACACTGGTCAAAAATATGTGACAGACCATGTCAAAGCCAATTAGTTTTCAAAGATAATTGTACTATGCCCACACTCCTTGGTCTTAACAGGTTTTAAGCGCAATGCAATTAAATGCAAATAAGTGAACTGAAAATTCTACGAAATACAATTAGAGTCAAGTATCGTGAAATGAAATAGAATTCATGCTAAGAAGCCCGAAGTCGTAAAATGACTGCTAAACGAATGGCATTGCTGCTAGGGGTTGCAATCTAAGCGTCAGGAGTACATTTAGAAATTGGAATGAATTGTTTATTATCACGAATAATGAGGTAGTGTTCTTGAGTAACATTAGAAGTCAGTCTGTTTGTCCTCTATAAATAACTTAAATGCCTTTGCGATAGAGACTAATTTAAAGATGTCAGTTTCATGAAGCCATCAAAATGGAGCAGTTATTGACGTTATTGTCTAGAACAACACTTAAACTAATTATATTTTTAGTCTTCTTTGAACCTTAGGACTGCGATTGAAGTAAGCCAACGACGGGAATAAGTTAAAATTGTATATACCTAAGTACAACGAAAATGTAATCTAAGCTTATAAAAAGGCTGTCTATTTATCCCACATATTCCTTAGCTCCTAATACAAACTGTAAAAAGTTTGTTCCATCAGTGGGGTACAAACACTGCCAATAAAGAAATTGTATCAATGTAATAAGCTGACCGTTACAATAAGAACTACTGTAAGGCGTGATATGAGGAGAAAGACTTGGTAGCACATAAACTTTGGTAGCACATAATTAGTTGAGAAGGACTGCCTTCAGAGTAAACGGCGTCAAGGAGTTCAGATTAAAACTTATATTAAAACGAGCTACGAACTAAATTAGATGCTTGATCGGTGCGGAATGAACTCTTTCCAAGATAAATGCGTTCAGCAGCTGTTGACGGGTATTGACATTCGATGTCCTTCTGTCTAATACAGTTGTATCACTAACCCTCACTTACTATATTTTGGTGGGAAGGGTAAGCACGAATCTATAGAATATAAATAGGCTTGATTCTGTCATTAGAGTGCATGTGCAGAAATATAATTCGAGTGGCTCTCAGTTCATTATTTTAATCGAAAAATTCGATCAAATACGTCGAATATTTATTGTTTTACAAACGCTTTACGAGCTGCATAATTTCGAGCCAAATAAATTATGATTGAATTAATTACTGAATTGCATAAGTGTCGCCTTATTAATGGCTAATGATTTTTCACACTGTAGCCGCAAATTTATTCGCATATGCAACGCAATACTGAAGAAAAAAACCGGATCCCAAATTGTAATTGAAATGCACTGATCGCGGCGACACTACGAGTATCAAGCGCATGATTTATAAGATTTATTCGAGCATGGTCGACTAAAAAACCATGAAAACCATGATGAAAACCCATAAAGTTAGAGCAGTGTTTGATACGCAAATTAATTTGCAGTACTCTCCATAAAGTTGCGCATTTATAGCGCATAATGATTGGTTGTCAACGGACTTACAATTTCAGGCCTGCCAGAACACGCCCACAGCGTAGGCCTTTTGGGACACGTCCTGCTCTGCTTTTCGATTTGCATTAACTATGCAAGGCAGCAAGTGTTTCACAAAATGCTTCAGACAGGCCTGCATATAGATGGACAGATATACAGCTGGACAGCTGGTCAGATAGCTGACTCGAGCAACCAACATAAGTGCACTTCAGGCTGGCCTGAACCAGATCTGGGCACAGAGTTGTTTACAATTTGGCTTACAGCAAAAAATCAAGGAGTTTGCAAAATATGCGAAAAATATCTGGCGGCCAAATAATAATAATAATAAAAAACACACACACACAGATGACGGGGAGAACGCTAGCTTACAATTAAATAAATAAAAGCTTTTTTGCATGGCTACGAGTTATGATTGTTTAGGGGCGTTGCTTTAGGAGCGCGAGCAGCTGAGGTCCGGCTCTTAAGCCGCTGACCTTGCAATGCCACTGACATCGATTATTGTTCTAACGCCAGACAGTCAGCCAGTCAGCCAGTCAAGCATTTATCGGCAATTGGTTGCTCTAGATTAAATTTCACATTGTAGTTGCAATGATCTCAAATATTGCATCACGTATACGCACAGGTGTACGTGTTGATAAAGAAAAGTGTTAAACTTAAGTTAGTTAGCTAGTTAACTGTCACGCCCAAGCCAAAATGTAATTAAGACCTCGGCTAAGAACTCTAAATGCTCAATTTGTACATGGCTCTAACTTACGAATATACAATATATGTTTTCGCTCATAGCGACAAGATAAATGAGAAAAGCACAAATGCGCGCGGCAGCCATTTATGGCTGCGGAAATTCGGCCAAGCTGCGAAACTCGTTAAAGACCAGGCCTATGGAAAATACATACAAGTATATAAAAAATGTATTCAAAACAGTTGGCCAAACATCCGCGTTACAAGCCACATGCGCTTGGGCGTAATGGGTGGGGTCAGCCACCACTACCACCACCACCACTTCAGTGGTCTTAAGAGCCAGTAAGTGGCAACAACAAGCTGCAGCAACAGCGACAGATTGGCGCTGCTGCGACACGAGCTGCGTTCCACGAAGCTGGTTACCAATGGCACTGCAAACGGCGCTTGAAGTTCGTCAATAGGCATCGGCAACAACAAAAGTAAAAGTGCAGTTTTGACTACGACCGTTCTCGGGCCTAATGCATGCATATTTTATGTGTACTCGATTTTTGATTTTTGCTATAAAAGCATTCGAGTGCCGCCAACAAACTTATTAAACGTTGTGTTCTTGCTCCGTCCAAAGACAACTGCCAAGCGTTTCTTTCCAATCTCAACATGTTCAAATACGTAAGTTTCAGGATTGAGAGTTGCCTGGCTAGCGACTTTGTAGCTAATGACATTTTTAATTTGCCCGCCAGTTCGTGTTTGCCGTCGTGTGTGTGGCCTGTGCCAGTGCTGCGCCAGGATTATTGGGTCCTTCGCCTCTGATCGGAGGTTTGCCGTTGACTGCTCCAGCCATTTCATACGGACACTCGCTGTCCGCTCCGTCTATCTCTTTGGCTGGTCCGGCCATCACCAAGATCGCCTCACCAGGCATCTCGCCGTTGGGACTCGGATTGGGTCCTAGGCTTAGCATTGCTTCGCCCGGAATTGCCCATGGACACATTGGATTGAGTAGCCTGGGACTGGCCTCCCCACTGGGCTTAGCATCGCCCCTCGCCTTGGGATCTCCCCTTAGCCTGGGTGGTCTCTCACCACTTGGACTCGGTCTTAGACCAGCTCTGGCCGGACCCGCACTGCTGGGTCCTGGACTGGGTCATCCCTGGTAAGAGGTTGTTTCGATCAACACGCGCACGCTTCCTTTGCTTTCGTTTCGTTTGGAGTTGATCAGCGCGTACGCATTATCGAGTGCATTAAAACTGAGGAGCAATCAATTGGAAATAAATCTGTTTTGTGTTTAATTCGATAAAGTTCTGATATATTCGAATTGTTCATTTTCTGTTCAGTGCAGTCATTAAGTTTATTGGCAAGTGTTGGCTTAAATATTATGGAATACATTGGAAAAGTGACTTGAATTTAACTCTCACACGCCCCCGCTCTCTACAAGTAATTCGCCTTAGTGCTCATTCTACCAGCCATAGCCATGACCATAGCCCAGGCCTAGGCCAATACCATGATGACCGTAGAGTCCGCCGTAACCTAAGCCTCCCAAATATCCATGACCCAATCCATAGCCATAGCCGCCAAGATAACTCTTTCCAATAATCGTTTTCGATATAATGGGTGTGGCAATGCTCTTGATGATTGGCGCATGATAGCCCAAGCCCAATCCTAGTCCTAGGCCTAGACCGTAGCCACCGTAGTGACCGATACCGCCGTAGTGTCCCAATCCTAATCCCAAGCCGCCGTGGTCGTAGTGATCGTACAGCCCGTGTCCGAGACCAATGCTTGGTGCTGGTGCCGGTGCAGGATCAGGAACTGGCAATGCTCGAATAGTAGACAGGCATAGAGCTGCTATTAGCGCAAGAAATAACTAAGAGCATGAGATAGTATGTAATTAGAAAACAGAGTACCATATTCGCAATAGACATATATTAACTAAGGGGCCCTTTCTATACATTCCCGAGTACAAGTATGTTGAAGAATGTGCTTTAATCCGATGTTGTCTATGCTCTTTGTTTTATTTCTTAATAATAATCTCGCACGCTACTCGCAGCTGGTGTGTGTAATATATAGTATGTGTCATTGGGGTGGTTCGTTGTTGTTTCTTCCTAGAACTACTCAATGACCGGAAATTCTTCCACCATTAGGTACTTTCAATGTTTGAATATTCTTTGACGAGCCTCATGATTTTAATTTGTATAAAATATATGAGTTCGCCATCCAGAAATTAAATTTATTAGTGTCTCGATCGTTCAGCTAATTATTTGAATATTAAGATCTGTTCGCGTACTGTCCGTCGGTCGTCGGCTGCCGACTTTGAATTCACCACACCGGCGACCGCCTAGCAGAGGCTTAGAATAAGTTTAGATTAGGCTTAGTTTTTAGTATTCGCATTGTATCGCAAGTGTGAAGTCAGCGCATGCGCGCCCCCAAATCGATTTAAGTTAATCTGTGAAGTTTTAATTGGAACAATAAACGACACCAACACCACATCAACTCGTCCTCTGCATTTGGTACCACACAGCGTCCACCCCACTACATTTTCACTGGTCCTTCGAGCCGGATATTGTCTGCTGCACCTCCAACCTTCATCCTCGTCTTGTGCTGCTTTGAAGTCCTCCCAGCTAGCATCGGTGGATTCAAGTGTTAAGTACCATCTGTAAATTATCCATTTACTATTGCTAAACCGCACTGTCCAAGTGCGTTCCGAAAAAAAAGCAATTTACAAGTGCAAGTGCCAGTGCAATCAAAAGAAAGGAAAAATTGTAGCGGCTTATATGTAGCTTATGTACATATCTTACATCAAGTATACATATGTACATATAGATATATAAGTCGCCATACTGTTTTTCCCGCCTTTGAGAGAGAGACTCCTGCGAACTTCGAATTTCCAATTCAAACTCGGCCGTGTTGTAAGGTCCAAAGGTCTTAAGTGTCAAACGTGTATAAGCGAACATATTGTGTTGTGCCTCAAACCCAACTGTGCCAACATATGAGTGTTAATAAGTGCACAATTCACATAGGCATTTATTAATATTCAATTCCACACATAATTGGCCTATACACGCTTAAGTTAAGACACTACACACGGAGCGCCCATTATTATTTATATTTCTCTCTTTCATTTATCCAACCCGCGCACTGCACTTGTACAATTTCCGCCAAATAAACCAACTTATTTATTTACCTCCGCATTATTATATTGCATATAAGTTTTTTCCCAAATCTTTAGCAACATTATTATTCACATCAGCAACATACATACATACATATATGTACATACATATTTTTTGGGCTTTTGTCGTTTGTCTTGTTTGCTAAACTTTCCAGCGCTTAAGATAAGCCGGCTCCTCGGCTCATCAATATTTTCACCACGCCTTCGCTCTTCGGCCGTTATTAGCGCTCTCTGGCGCTCACACCCACACACATACCCACACAAAAACGTCTCGCTGCAGCAGTGCATTGGCAGCGTCAGTTTGAGCGCAGCTGAAACAATAAGCGTGTAGACTGACCGCCAGCTGTTCCTCTCCGCAGCGTTTATGCATGCGCATACCCTATACGGACCGGGTGTTGCGATTTTTATGTATGCTCCTGCCCTTGCAATTTTTTTGAAAAAAATATTTTTTCGTTTTTGTGAATTCCTCATCTAATTGCGTTCTGTGGCCCACATATACATATATTTGGACATCATCGTTGGATTTCTTCGGCACTTGGGCAAAATTTATATTTTATTAAATTTAATTTTTCCTCCAAATTAATTGGTCGTGTGCAAATTATCCATAATTTGTACAAGCGTTTATTTTGGGTCCAATACCAACCGCGGCGTTGATTGAAATATATTTTCCTCGTTTTTTTTGCCCGCGCAAAATATTTACATATTTTTTTTGTCCTTTCGCAATCCGAAATATTGGAGCCGTATAAATATTTTTTTTTTTATTTTTTAAAAAAAATTTACGAAAGCAATCCGAGGCTTTCCGTTCGTAGCGCCGCCCAACATAGTCAGTCCAAGTCCGTTTTTCAACGTTTACTATGCCAGCAGGGGATCAGGCTAAGGCTTCAGAGCAAAAGAACATAGCCGATACACCTTCCACGCCAGCGCTAGCTACTTTAAGCGTTCCATCCGCCTCAACATCAAGGGCCAGTCCCACTCAGCCGCTCGCATCAAGCGCGAATTCCAAGGCTTCTGTTTCCGAAGCCAAGACTGCTCCTACTGAGAAAAAAAGGACAAGGTCCGTGTCTCAGGAGTCTAGATCGACCAGCCAAATGTCGCTCAACACCTTCCTCCTCGTGAGCGACAGATTAAGCGCTTTCGAGGCTACGATGTCCGCCGCCTCAATATGCGAGTCATCCCTGTATATCCTCAATACTCGCCGAGACCAAGTCAAGTCGTTATGGGCACAAGTAGAACAGGAGTGTGATCAATGCACAAGATCACTAAGTGCGTTGGCCACTGAAGAGAGCAGGCATGATCTGGCAGTAGTCCTGAAGAAGTACGAGCACTGCTATCTGATATATGAAAGGTGTACCGCCAAGCTCAGCGAGAGCATTGACAGCCTTTCTGCCGCCAGTAAGCCACCTAGCCAGCCCTTGCTGTCACCTCATCTTGCGACCAGCAACAGAGGCTGCTCACTCCCTCCGGTCGACATTGAAGTTTTCAGTGGCGATCCTTTACGGTGGCCTACTTTCCGTGATTTGTTCACTGCGGTTTTTATTAGTAATCCGAGGCTCACTCCCATTGAGAAACTCTTCCATCTCAATGCCAAAACTGCTGGAGAAGCAAAATCCATTGTTGCTAAGTCCCCGCTCACACATGACGGCTTTGAGTCCGCTTGGGAGAATTTAAAAGAGCATTTTGAGAATAAAAGATTGTTGGTTAATAGCCAGCTCAACCTTTTGTTCGGCCTTTCCACAATCGGCCAAGAGTCTGGAGCAGCTGTCAAAGCCCTTCAAAGCACCATTCAAGGGTGTCTTACTGCTCTGGAACATTCCAAGGTAAAAACCGAAAACTGGGACCCTATTTTGTGTTTTTTCTGCGAGCGCAAGCTTCCCAAGGTCACCCGAGGCCTGTGGGAGCAATCCTTAAAAAGTAAAACGGAAATTCCAAAATGGGCGGATCTCAACACGTTTTTGGTTGAACGCTACCGTACCCTTGAGGCAATGGACGACGAGAGGTCGGCGTCTAGTTTTCAGGACCAAAGCCATTCCAAGCCTCAGAGAAGGGACGGGCCGCCTAAGAAACTCAATTCATTCGAGGCAAAGATTAGCGTGAAACCACCTCCATCCACCAAGGCCAAGCCACAGGCATGCAACATATGTTCCAAGGAGAACCATGCCATCCGAATGTGCCCTCGTTTTCTGGCAATGTCCATCACAGACCGGATTGCCTGCATCAAGCAGAACAAACTGTGTCTAAATTGTTTTGCGAGAGGACATCAACTACGAGAGTGTAGTAGTGCGCACACCTGTTTTACGTGTAAGGGACGGCATCACACTCTACTTCATCGTGCCTCCCCTTCGTCTGTTGTGGCATCCAGTGTTCCTCCGGCTGCTCAGTCCTCCACGCCACAAATACAGTCCACATCCGATAGCGAAGCAAGGGTTCATACTTATTTTGTTGCCAGTTCCCAAAATGTCCTGCTGGGCACCGCCTTAGTTGACATTGGTCATTTGGGTACAAATTATACAGCGCGAGCCCTGATCGATTCCGGATCAGAGGCCACATTTATTTCCGAGCGACTTTTTAATCGTCTACAGCTTCCATTCCAATCGGTGCAAGCCCAAGTTTCGGGCCTTAACCAAGCTGTATCCGCCCAAGCGCACAAGCTCTGCCATTTTACGCTCGCATCGCCAACTAAACCAAGGTTGCACGTCGAGACCTCAGCCTTCGTAATTCCGCAATTGGCAGGAAATCTTCCCTCGTACACCATTCCTCAAGATCGCTTGAGGGACCTGCCAAATGTTCAGCTGGCTGACCCCATGTTCCACAGAAGCTCGCAGATTGACGTGCTGATTGGCGCTGATATCCTCCCATCGATTCTTTTAGGCGGCTTCCAGAAGAATATTTGTGGCACTCTCCTTGGGCAAGAATCGATTTTCGGCTGGATCCTAAGTGGTCCAGTGACCCAGAGCCCCGTGCAGTCTCTCGCTTCGTTTTCCACTCACGTGGCGGTGAGCCATGACGGCACGTTAGAAAATCTTCTCACCAAATTTTGGGAGGTGGAGGATCTTCCAGGCAGAGTGATGAAGGAATCTGATGCCGTATGCGAACAAAATTTTGTCCGTACTACACGAAGAGAAGAGAGCGGCAGGTATGTGGTCACCTTACCATTCAAGGATCCTGATCACATTGATCTGGGGCACTCCCGATCCATTGCTCTGGCTCAATTCCTGAAAAACGAGTTTCGGTTGAAGAAGAACGTCTCTCAGAAAGAGCAGTATGACTCAGTGGTACAAGAATACCTTGATCTGGGTCATATGCGACAAGTCGCTCCCGATACCGCATCCGCCAATTTCTATCTGCCTCACCATGCCGTGCTCAAGCCTGACAGTACTACTACCAAGGTTCGGGTAGTTTTCAACGGCTCAAACCCTTCTTCTAACGGCAAGAGCCTAAATGATGTCCTCCATTCAGGTCCGGTTTTACAATCCGATCTCACCATGCAAATTTTGAAATGGCGTTTTTTCAAGTATGTGTTTAGCTCCGACATCACGAAGATGTATCGCCAGATTCTTGTAGATCCCAAACACACGCCGTTTCAAAGGATTCTTTTCCGCAACCAAGATGGTGATCTTTGTGACTACGAATTGAGCACAGTCACCTTTGGTATAAATTGCGCCCCTTTTTTGGCCATTCGAGTCTTACAGCAACTTGCCAAAGACATCCACACACAATATCCGCTAGCGAGCCAAGTGATCTCCAACTTTATGTACGTGGATGACGTACTAGCGGGGGCACATACAATCCGCAGCGCGGTGGCGACCATTAATGAGCTGCGGGAAGCTCTGGGCACCGCTGGCTTTCCTTTAAGAAAGTGGACGTCCAACAATCGGGAGTTGCTACGAGATGTGCCTCGTGAGCACATGCTGTGCGTTGATTTTCTGGATCTCGAAGATGCCAGCACAGCAAAAACCTTAGGAGTCCGTTGGAAAGCCACAACAGATGAATTCTTCTTTGTAGTTCCCAAGGTTGAACTACAATCCTCCTATACAAAGCGCGAGGTCCTTTCTCATGTCGCTAAGCTATTCGATCCAGCGGGCTGGCTGGCTCCCTTTATCCTGCGCTCGAAGATGTTCATGCAAGAGCTTTGGCTGAGCGAGATCGGGTGGGATGACCCGTTGCCTCCTCAGTTGCATCGTCAATGGAACGAGCTCCTGCAGGAGTACCCCCAAATTAACCACATCCGCGTACCGAGATGGCTTAATTATGAACCCCAAGTATCCTTCCAGTTCCATGGTTTCTGTGACGCCTCCCAACGCGCGTATGGAGCCGCGCTTTACGTCCGGGTTCAATTCGGCAACGATGTGCGAGTGCATCTCCTCACAGCCAAGACGAGAGTGGCTCCGGTTAAGACCGTGTCCTTGCCACGGCTGGAACTGTGCGGTGCTGTCCTTTTGGCTGATATGGCTGCTGCCGTCCTGCCGAATCTCCCCCTTAGCAGCTACGACACTTTCTTTTGGACGGATTCGACGATTGTGCTGGCCTGGCTCAGCAAGCCAGCTTGCACTTGGACGACCTTCGTCGCCAATCGAATTGCAAGGATTGCTTCCGCCGCAGAGACGTGGTCACACGTGCGATCCGAGCACAATCCGGCGGATTTGGCAAGCCGCGGTACGTCTCCGCAGGACTTGTGGTCAAATACCTTATGGTGGCATGGCCCTGATTGGCTCAAGTACCCTCATGCAGAATGGCCCCGTTTGGGTCTCCCGATGCTTGACACCGACATGGAGAAGCGCACCATTAGAAGCCATTTTGCGCAAGTGCCACCAGCTGCAGACTTCCTCGAACGTTTTTCTGACTTCGGCAGAGCTCTTCGGGTCACAGCGTACGTTCTTCGTTTGAGCCCACGATGCCGGAAGGCACGTCCCCAACGGCCCAGCGAGCTTAGCAGCACTGAGCTGGTCGAAGCTCAACGGGCCCTCATCATATGCACTCAGCGAAGGGAGTATCCGAAAGAGTTCCAATCCTTGGAGAAAAGGCAACCGGTGTCCTCGTCAAGCTCAGTCCATAATTTGAATCCCTTCTTGGATGAACACGGGATCATGAGATCGTGTGGTCGATTGGTGGCCTCTCGGACATTGAGCTATGATGAACGCCACCCTATTGTTCTCCCCTACAGTTGTTGCTTTTCTCGTCTCCTGGTCTTGTTCACTCATCGGCTTTCTCTACATGGAGGAAACCAACTCACAATTAACCTCGTCCGATCTAGGTATTGGATCCCGAGGCTGCGGGTCCTGGTCAAGTCTATTATCAACTCGTGCAAGGTGTGCCTTATCCACAAAAAGAAGCTCCAGACACAGTTGATGGGAGAGCTACCAGTACCACGGAGCACTTTCTCTCCGCCATTCACCCACACTGGTATTGATTATGCCGGCCCCTTCGAAATTAAAAACTACACTGGCCGTGCCTGCCTCATAACGAAGGGATACGTCTGCGTATTCGTTTGCTTCAGCACAAAAGCAATCCATTTAGAGGCGACTTCCGATTTGACGACCGAAAAGTTCCTGGCAGCCTTTGCACGTTTCGCGGCTCGACGGCGATGTCCAACGCAAATCCAGTCTGACAACGGCACGACCTTTGTCGGAGCGGCAAAAGCGTTGGATCGTGATCTCCTTGAGGCGACACGAGCTTGCATAACTGCATCCTATCCTCAACAGATCCTCTCCTGGCATTTCATTCCACCCGGTGCTCCCCATATGGGTGGTTTGTGGGAGGCCGGTGTCAAGAGTTTCAAAGCTCTGTTCTACAAACACACTTCCGGTGTTAAATACACATTCGAGGAGATGTCCACGCTGCTCTGCAAGATTGAGGCGTGCCTTAATTCACGCCCAATCTCTCCGATGTCCGAGAACTCCAGTGACCTGCTGGCTCTTACTCCAGGTCATTTCCTGACCGGTGGCCCCCTTCTCTCCTTGGCAGAGCCAGAAATCCAAGAAGACGCAGTCTCCATTGTCAACCGTTGGCGTCGTCTCAAGGCCTTAAACCAACAGTTTTGTTTTCGTTGGAAAGACGAGTACCTGAAGGAGCTCCATAAGCGCAGCAAGTGGCAACAGCCCGCGCGGAATCTCCAATCAGGTGACATGGTGGTCATAAAGGAAGATAACATTCCTCCCAATGAATGGCGCCTGGGCCGTGTTCAAGACACATTTCCTGGCTCGGATGGCAGAGTCCGTGTAGTCGAAGTTCGGACTGCACGAGGCACCATCAAAAGGCCCATCGTTAAATTAGTCTTCCTTCCGTTCGAGGACAGCTCCACTGTCCAATGACTAACATTCCCAACGGCCGTTTCCATGCATAATTTTTTAATGTTTTTCCTCGCTTTTTCGTGCAGCTCTTTTCCCACAACCATGGCACCTCACAAGAACCGGTCGCACGGGAGCAAGCGTCGCATGGGAGTGGATTCGTTCCGCTGCAGAGTCTGTCGGGGAGTCCATCCCCTCCGCAAGTGTCAGCGGTTCCTGCGGCTTAATGCGGAAAAGCGGCTTAGGGCAGTGCTCATTAATCAGTACTGCCCCAACTGTCTGGCCCACGAGCACTCTGGAGCTGACTGTCGGAGCGGTGACCGGTGTCGGATCTGCGAAAAGGACCACCACACTTTGCTCCACATGCGGGAGCACGCACATCGTGGGACAACACGCGATCGTGCAGGCACCCCTCCCAGGCGGTCCGCCAGAGCGCCGGTCGTGGTCGAGCGCTTGCCGCGCCAACACGGACGAGGCCGTGCAGGCACGCCTCCAAGGCGGTCCGCCAAAGCGCCGTCCTCGTTGCCTGTCCCACAGGCTCCTACGCTCTCCTCACTCCTCCAACACGGGAAAACTCTGGTCATGCCCACGGCTGTCGTCCAAGTCGGTTCAGGGCGGAAATGGTTTGACGTCCGCGTCCTCCTGGATCCCTGCAGCCCTGTAAGCCGCATCAGCGAATCCTTCGCCAAAGGCCTGAAGCTGGCCAGTGTCCCGATCGGTGCCGAAAAAGCCTGCTCAGCCTTGGTGCGCTCCAAGCACAGCCCTTCCACCGAACTGGAGGTGATCCTGAAGGTGGAGGCCAAGGTCCAGCACCGGACCCCCTCGGCTGCAGTGGGCGAGTCGGTTCGGCGCCACTTCGCGCATCTGTCACTGGCGGACCCCAATTTTGACCGGCCTTCCACGGTCTTCCTGGTCTTCGGCGCTGATGTGTACCCAAAAATCATACAGCAAGGGCTGTTGCCGGGTCAAGCCGAAATCCCCGTCGCTCAGAACACCCTCTTCGGCTGGATCTTGTCCGGCTTCTGCAGCGGCTAAGCGCTTCCCAAGCCGTCCCCACGTTGTTTTGCAATGTATTGCAAGGGGGGCGGAATGTTCGCGTACTGTCCGTCGGTCGTCGGCTGCCGACTTTGAATTCACCACACCGGCGACCGCCTAGCAGAGGCTTAGAATAAGTTTAGATTAGGCTTAGTTTTTAGTATTCGCATTGTATCGCAAGTGTGAAGTCAGCGCATGCGCGCCCCCAAATCGATTTAAGTTAATCTGTGAAGTTTTAATTGGAACAATAAACGACACCAACACCACATCAACTCGTCCTCTGCATTTGGTACCACACAGCGTCCACCCCACTACATTTTCAAGATCCAAGACTTCTCGTGATCTAAGTAAGTAACTAAGCTATAATTAAACATGATCCAATTTGCCTTTAAAAGATTGTAAAGACCATTTGTATATTTATTCCCTTTTTTAAATTCCTGAGAGCTCCATTAAAATTGCCCCATATTGGTTTGCACTAAAAGAAAGTCTGAGACGCAGGTGACTATTTGACAAACTAAACGAATCCGTGGAATCCCTGCAAAAAGTGATCTCTACTTACAGTCTTGTACATGTTGCTACTTTGCTCTTTAATTGCTCGTAGTTAACTCTAAGGCACTTGTGCACTTGTATTGCTGCTGCGGATCGATTCGCATGGCTTTTATAGCAATTTGGGGGCGCAATTTCGAGCGCCCGAACAAGAGCTCCAAAGTTGGAGCCGATGATCTAATTATGCCGTCAGCTGCCACGCGCTTTTGGTCTTTTACTTAATCTACTTTTCTTGTATTTGGTCAGAGACATTTCACCAGCCTGTCCATACGCAACGTACTATATGCCATCAGGTGCGTGCATCGCATTCCTCTCACATGCAACACCTTGCCTCGCCGCGCCTGCCTAATTAAACAACGCACTCCTAAAGTGGCCAAAGGCGGCCGCAGCGACTGACTGCAAACCTTTCGCCAGTTTTTTTTTATTATGCTAACAACTTGCGTGCAACGTTAACATGTTGCTTACACTCTAATTATTATTATTTGATATACATTTTTTGATTTGCTCTGATCCCGACCCGCTCTAAGTTTAGAGTGGCTAGCTGGCGTTTTTAGGCGTTGTTTTGTAATCTTTGATCTAGTTTAGCATTTACCAGTTTTACAGGCCCCGGGTGGTTTTAAATGTTAAGCGGCCCTCGGCTTGGCACATTAAGCCATAGTCTATAGAATCGATTGTCTCCACAGAGATGAGGGCGGCGCGCGCGCTCTTAAAAAACAAACATTAAAATAAGGTCAATGTTCTTTGAAATTATATGTAAATAAATGAATGTTTGAAATGAAAATAAAAGACAACATTATGTGATGCAATGCATAATTTGTGTATAAAGAGCAAAACTGCCGCTCGATGGGCTTCGTCGCCAATCAATTTTTCTATTCGAGTATGTATGCGCGAAGTGCAAGTCATAAAATAAAGAGATTGAGCAACAAAAGTTTCGCACGCACACAAAAGTCACGAAATTATCAACAATACGATTAAATGGACGCTTAAAACAATGGCCAGGAAAAACAAAAGCGACGAAGCGACCAAACCACCAAGCGACCAACTAACTCACATCAAATACGAGTATACTCGAATTTGTAAAACACAAACAAACAACGAAATGAATGAAAACAATGTGAAAAAATGTGTTCAAAGAGTCACTGACACTTTGACAATCTCTTCAAGACGAGTTGTCGCGCATCCAATCGAAAGCAGCAACAACAACAACAACAATGACAACGACAACCAAGTGACGCATTAAACTTGAACTTGAAAACGAGTTTGGTATGCGAAGCACTCGATGACTCGATGCCTCCGATGTGGAGTAAGACTCTTGCAACAGGTTCCATGAGCGGGACTTCAGCATGCAGTTGGGATAAACCGGTTCGAGATGCCACACACAGCACAGCACAGCACAGCCCGGCTCATAACTGTAAATCAGCGCCAAGGAATTAAGAAAAAGTATATAAAACGCTTGGCCTTCAACTCCAAGAGTCTCAGTACAGCTTCAAGCCACTGAGCAGCAGCAGCAACAACAGCCAGAATGTTCAAGGTAGGTGCTAGGAAGAAGGCTATTAAATACTCGTATATAAATTGCATTTAATTGTGCACTCTAGTGTTTCCTACTATGCCTGGCCATCTGGCACTGCAACGCCGCAACAGTCATCTACCATCCTCGTCCACATCCTCATCAGGGCACCTCAGTGCTCAGTTCCTATCCACTGCATCAAGTGCAGGCTGTTCAATCCCAGCAAGCACATCCGCATCCCGGCTATACGATTGTGGCACCTCTGACCAAAATAGCACATGTGACATACGATTCGGTGCCTCTTTCCCACACACCATTCGAGCACGTGCCGCTCTTTCAGCGCATTGGCCATGTGAAGAACATCCGATTGTAGGGTTTACTTCACTTAACTTCAACGTGACAATAAAATATAGAAATGCCATTAATTGAATGATTCATATTACGATTTATTCGCCAAGCTTTCATGGTTTGTGATTGATTATGAGACTATTTCTAGCGGACGGTACTAAGTTCTATGCTCTAATAGGATGCAGCGGGAGATGGCGTTCAGTTAGGTATAAATCCTTTTCTCCTTCTTACCATAGGTAAGGTGCGGGCGCGAACTTGGGTCCCACCGCCAGGGGCGCGGGCAGAGGAGCGGCAAAAGGGCCAGCAAAAGCTGGTGCAGCGAAGGGTGCGGCTAGAGCTGGAGCAGCGAAGGGGGCGGCAACAGGCGCAGCAAACTTAGCAGGTGCCGCAAAAGCAACCGGGGCGGGTGCAGCGAAACCTAGAGGAGCCAGAGGTGCTGGTGCCAGAGCGGGGGCTGCAAAAGCTACCTTGGGTGGAGCTGCAAGAGCCACAGCGGGTGCTGGCGCCAAAGCAGGAGCCGCAAAGCCAAGTGGGGCAGGCAGCGGTGCTGGCGCAAAAGCAGGCGCAGCAAATCCAACCTTAGCAGGCAGGGCGACGGGAGCGGGTGCAGCAAAGGCGACCGGGGCAGGTGCAGCGACAGGCACAGGCACTGGAGCGGGTGCCACGGGGAAGGCGACGGCATGATTTATGCGATGGGCATTAAAGCTGGAGGCGTAGGGTGCCACCACGCCGGCTGCCAGTGGAGCTGGTGCAGCTGCAAAGGGCAACAAGCCAGCCTGTGCGGTGGCAACGCAGAGAGCAACGAACTGCAAAAGCAAAAACAAGAACACTCCTTAAAATCCGTCCTATCCAATGCGCCAATGTAGATCCAAACTTACCGTAAGCTTGGCGAACATTTTGCTTGAGTTTGTTTGGTTAGTGCGACTGACTAGGTCTTGGTTGCTTGAGGGCAAGCTGTGATTTGATGTCCCATTGTCAGCTCGTTGGCGTTTTTATAATTCGGAACCAAAGTACTGGGCAAAGCCCAGGAAAAAGAAACCCCTCATGGTGGGGCATACGAAATCAGCTGCTTACACTTTCTATATACGGACATGCGAAGGGCGTTGTGCGATTATGTTAAAAATCAATTGAACTGCCGTTACGCATGCGCCGCACTTTCATAATTGCACGCAGCTATCGAACCCCTAACGACCAGGCAGATCAACCAAAAACCATAACCTAGCCCAATGACTTACTTTTGGAACGCCTGCACTCAACTCTTGCTTGCTTGCCATTTGCCATGCGGTTGGGCAAGTTTCCGTTTTATTTATGACGTTTTGCGCTCCGTACACCTACAAATGAGCCACATTAAGCACAAAGACGTGACAAGCGGACAGACGCGCAGACAACCCGAACCGAAGCGAACGTGGGACGCAGAGTGAAACGCCCACACCAACATCTGTCCCTCTTGCACAGTTGGCATTCAAATCGAAATTAATTTTTGCAGCACTTTGTTGCAACAATTGTTTAAGCCAACTATAATTGTAATTCGAACACACATACTACTTGTACATGCTCGTACCACCACATGCCCTGAATTTCTTATTATTCAGTTAACAAATGTGGTGTGCAACTCAGCCACTCAACACAAAGGTATCCAATTGCTATACATGTGCGTTATCAGTGTAACCAATTGTAATTGCTTTTCCAGGCATTTGAATCTATTTGTGGCCACATTACGAGCCAACGCTGAATGCATTACAGAGATAATGGCTTTGCATTGAATAGTGGACTGGTATGAAAAGAATATGTGCTTATGTAGCATAACATTTATAAAAATAGGCCAAACAAGTGCTTGTTGGTTAAGTCATAATTTATCTCATTCAAATAATTCTACATAGCCAGCGCGGTTTACATACAGATTATGTAATCAATAAGGGTCCCTACAATGGGCCGATTTACTACTTGACTAATTATTAAATATGTTTTTGTTGCCGCAAGAGAAAATAGGATTCACCTTTTGGCAGTTAATCAACGTTTTTGAAAGTCAGAAATTATTTCAATATTCAAAACAAGATTCATCCACAACCTTCTGAAAACGTGAGGTCTTAATAAAGAAGACGATTTACATAAATCGTCCAAATGTGTACATAGATGTGTATATCCTTAAGTACCCAAAACTTAGACTTTGATTCTGTATTCAAACAATTACGAAATATACAAGTAGTTGAAAGAATATATTTTATCTTTCAGCTTTAGATTGATTCTCAGATGAAATCAATATTTTTCAAAAGCTTAACATTTTACTATATATAATGCAAAGGAAAGAATAGCATTAGTAATAGTTTATTGCAAAATAGACCCACAAGTGGAGTAAAATCGAGATCAGATTTTATCTCAGAACATAAACGCAAATAATTCTATTAGCTTTGCTATGTTTGCATACCATTTCTTGAGCTGCTTCCCAGACTTTCGCACATTTTTTGAAACTGATATGCAAAATGGATTACGCAGCCAGAAAGAGGAAGCTAAAAACGCGTAGCACCGCTCGCAGGCTATTTACTTGTAAAAATATAAACATAGATTTATTGTTTCTCGAATAAGTTAATATTTGATTGCTTAGAACATATTACAAATGACTTGTAATCTCTTTGGTTACACCTATACTATATATATAATTGAGAAGCAGCTTTTCCGTTCTAACTTGATGCCTTGCGGCGCAACAGACTCACCACAGTGAGTGGTGACGATGGTGGTGCGCCAACTTCAAAGGCAAGGCGCGCAGGTGAGCGTGTGGCGCAATCAGCTTGGGGAACGCGTATCCAATGGACACTTTGTGTGTTGTGGTCTTAGGACCAGGTATGGCGCGATAGCTGGATGCGAAAGACACAGCTGGGAAAACGGGTGGCACCACATGCGTCACCACGGGTGGTGCGGGTAACAGTTGCGTGTGCACCGCAGTAGGCAGCAGGGGTGATGGCAGCAATGGAGCTGGCAGCAGAGGAGCAGGAGCGGGCAGCAAGGGCGCAGGAGCTGGCAGCAGGGGAGCAGGAGCTGGATAAAGGGGAAGTGGCGCTGGTGGTGGTGGTGCTGGAGCGGCGGGCCATACTGGAGCAGGGGCAGGGAACACTGCAGGCTCAGGCGCTGCCCACAGTTGCTCAGGCGCTGGCCACAGCTGCTCAGGAGCAGGCACTAGCGTCTCCCCCAACAAGGGTGTTGGTGCGGGCAGCTGTGGCGATGGTACTCCATATTCCAAGTGCTGCGGCACAGCGGTATGCAGGTGTTCGAAGTGGTGATCGAAAAAGTGATGCGAGGGCTTGGCCACACTGCCCCCAATCGCGACCAATACCAACAGGGAAGTCTGTGTGTGTGTATGTGTGTTAAGTCTTAGGTGTGCCCTTCACTCGTTGCCTCCCACAAAACTTACCACAGTCTGTTGCCACATTTTTCCAATTATTGTTGTCCTTGCTTTCAAGTTAGACGCGTCTTGTCACGACCGGAGTGTTGCTGTCAATGTCTGTACAACTTTGCATTGCTTTTAATTTATAGTGAAAAGCGAATTCATAATTGTTTAACAAATATCTAATTGCGCCAGCAATCGAATGCCTGCACTTCCACACTTTCGTTTTCGTCGGCGGCAACCTTTGCCCGTTTTTGGGTGGCCCCACCGACTTATTTATATGTGTGTCAGACACGCCATAACGCTCGGATCGATGCGGTAATACAAGTATTGTTGTGGTATTGGCTGTGTTGCTGCAGTTGGGCACTAAATCGTGACTTTGTTGTCACCGACTTGAAAGAAATTACATTTGTTTATGCAAACGTTTAGTGTCTGATTTTTGGCCCGACCCGTGGGGGCCAATAACTTCTGAAATGTTTTGAAAGCCAGCAATTCAAATTACGTTTGGCTGGGCTGCTCATTATATAACACACACATTGACAGTTTTGTTGCATTGTATTAGTTACTGAAGATAAATGTCTTAATATATAACTGCAGCAGTTTACAGCTGAGCGACCTTGAGCTCTTCTATTCAATTCTCTCTCTTCAACGCCGATTTAGTTACACGTAAGAGCAAATCAAGTTATAAAATGAATTATCCAAATATATCTTATTCCGCAGCATATGCACAATTTTTCCCAATTGGTATTTTTCCACATAAAAAGAAACCTCGGGGCTAATGCTGTTCATGTTCATAAATAAAAGGGGTAACAATATACTTTGCATTCATTCTTTTATTATTTATTTCCCTACAATCTTTGTACCAGGCTTTCGGACACATCAATGCAGTCTCATGTTAAATCACTCGGGGCTTTCTCTTAGGCCAAAAGAGGAGCTGGAGCAGCAAGGGCAGCTGGTGCGGCAGCAAAACGAGCGGCATAAGGGGCGGCATAAGCAGCGGACAGGTATGGTGAGGCATAGGGTGCGGCGAATGGAGCGGCGTAAGGAGCGGCGTAGGGGGCGGAGTAGGGAGCAGCATAGGCAGCAGCAGTCAGAGGAGCTGGAACTGGAGCGGCCAAAGGAGCTGGAGCGGCCAATGGAGCAGCTACTGGAGCAGCCAAAGGAGCAGCTGCGTACTTGGCAATCACTGGAGCAGCAGCGGCATAGGCAGCTGGAATGCCAGACACGTAACGGCTGGAGTAGGGTCCGGCGTACTCGAAAGGCGCAGTGGCGTAGGAGGAGAGGGTGCCGTCGTAGTTGTTGCGCACATCCACCTGACTGCTGCCTCCAGCAGCGTAAAGCGGCGCATTAGCGTAGGCAATGGGAGCAGCTAGAGGAGCAGCCAAGGGAGCGGCCAGAGGAGCAGCAAAGGGAGCGGCAATACCAGGCTTGGCCGAAGCGCAAGCAACAAGTGCGGCAATGACGAAGAGCTGCAGAAAAGGAAGAAGAATTGGTCATTCAATGCAATCCTGGTGCCTGGTGCCTGGTGCTATCCACTCCTTAGTATCAACTTACGAATTTGTACATTTTGCTTTTGCTTAGTGGGCTGCTTGTTGGACTGTTGAGTCTTGAGTTGTTAATATCTCTTAGCCTGCCCAGCCCGTGCCTTATATAGTTGTTAACAACCAACGGCACAATTGCAGCTAAACTTGGCGGCCATTCTGCCTTGGTTAAGATATGTATGCATGTGGGGTTTGTGTGTGGTTTTTGGTCGCTTCTGCAGACGACTTGTCGGCATACATACATAAGTGTCTCGCCTGGCCCAGCATTGTTTGGCAGACGTGTTTGGCCTTTAATTGCGCGACAATTGTCGGAAGTCGCAGCATATTTCGCAAAGTGCTCGCATTTGTATGCAACCATCAATCGCCTTGCTTCAAATCCATTTCGAATCGTATCGATTTGATTGCGTAGCCTGCGTTTTGCACTAGGCTGGTGGGTAGCAGCTTTGTGTGGGCTGATCTGAGCTGCCTCAATATATTTTAAATCGTCTGTCAATTTGCGCTCAGTTTGGCCAATAAACATTATATTGATTGCAGCATTAACGCTGACCATAAAAATGCTACACAGCTTGCTTTTTGAACCGGGGGCAAGTGTGTTGTTGTTGCTGTTGTTGTGTGTTCGTCACACTAGTGTGCGGCACTTAAATTTGCAATTGGCCCCCACCACGTCGTAAATGCTTTTTGGCATGGTTTTATTACCAACTGGGCTCGCTTTCATCCTCACCGCTCGCATTCCTTGCAAGTCTAATTAGTTTCGCCAAAGCGACCTTCACATTCAAGGCAACAGGATTTTAGAATGGCAGCAAAAGATGGCCGTTTTTAGGTTTCATAATTCAAAATGAAACCTTAAATTTCTCAGAAATGATGCAAGAAAAATATGCACACATTAAATAGAGAAGTAAGAAAAATAATGGATTTAAAGGAACTTGAAACTATATGCAGAATATTTGCAGCACACACACACTACAAAAACAAAGATTATGAAAAGTAAACCAGCAGATAAATATTAAAATGTAATTTTTTTAATTCCTATCGAAATTAAAAATTAAAACACTTTTTAAGTTTTGAGATAGTAGTAGAATATTTCTACAAGATATATCTAGTAATTTATGCACGTTATGTGTTATAACTAATATTTGATTAAGTGTAGAAAGGAACCAACTGAAGGACGTGAATAATTTCTTTCCGAAAGCAGAAAGCGCCGGAAAACATTATTTTATTAAATACAAAATAGTTTTAATTTAGTATTTATTTAAATGCATACTTATTTGATTTTTCCTGGTTGTATGGGAAGAGCGCATAGTAAACATGTCAAGAAGAAGAAGAAGAAGCGTTCAGTATAGAACTCACTTCTTACAATAGCTGATTGGGAATACACCGACTGCTGCGCCTTATTTAGTATTATATATATAAATACTTCTCATCTGTTTCTTACAAAAGTCTAGCTTACAAACAGCTGTTTGTCAGATCGTATTGCCATAGAGTATATAAGTAATATCCTTTGAATAAACATATTTCAGACGTTGAGTGCCAATCGAGTGCAGCTTTGGTGGAAGCCATAAAACACAAAACTTCAAAGCCAGACCAAGTCCGGCCCTTAACCACAAGCAGGCCCCTTTCAAAAGTTCAGTCGGCACTTTAATTGGCAATGTGTAAAGGCAGAATCAGAGAAACCGGCTCGTATTATGTTTAATGAACAATCTCTGTGCGGCCAGTCACGTGCTAACCGCTGACCACTTGCTGCTGGCCGCTGGTCAGAGCCGGCTGGTGTTGATGATCACTTGCGTGTTTCGCATTTTTTTTTTGTTTTTCTTTTCAAGAAATCATCATCTCCGCATCTTGTGATCTCAAGGCTGTCGCTCGATGACAAGTCGAGTGTTTTACTATGGTGTTGCCCCACTCATAACTGTATCCGCGTTTTTTTTGCCACTTACCTCAACAGATTTATAGCGAGAACAGCCACTTACTCTACGAATTAATAATGTATGTATTAAAATATTTGCTGCTGTTTTTTTCTCAGCAGATTTTCCTCTGATTTGATAGAGTAATACGGAAGCGCTTACGAATGTATACTTCCTAGTCAAGTTGTTTTTACGGGGGTGGTACAATAGGTGTTTCGGAGTGATTCTTTAATTTTTTAACACGCTAATAATTTTCCCCTTCGTCAGACGTTTCATTTTGTTTGCTTTTTAGGGCTCTCATAATAGAGAAAACCTCCTTGTTCGATGGGAATCTCTTTTCGGAAAGCCGCCTTTTCTAGAAAGCCTGGAGCCTAACATATTCCATATTAGAGATGTGGCAGCCACTTGATGATTCTTTGCAATACAAACTGCATTGTCTTATCACTTTCTTCTCCAAACCCCAGTTACCTTTACCGTGAACTATTTTGATATTTCGTTCAAAATTGTATCCATTTATCCAAGGCATCGTTTAATACCATATCCGGATTTGTAAGAGTTAGTTCTGGAGCCATTTCATTCATCTTGCCTTTGGTTTCCTTCATTATTTTGCCTAAATAGGCATTTTGACACCATTGGAAGTAATCAGGTTTCAAAATAAAAATATAACAAATTTTCGTTCAATAATCAGTTTCTATTTTTGGATAGTTCTCGAAGACTTTCTCTCATTAACAATATTGTGTTTTATAGCAGTATCAATTAAAAATAGTGTTTTGTATTTATTTACTATGCCTTTTGAGTGGTTTCACAAATTCCTGTTTTAGAGCGGGTTCATTGGGATTCGGCAATGAGTTCTGTGTGCAGCTGTGGATATTCGCTTTAAATAAAGTAATTCTGAGCAATATTTATGGGTTCTTTGCATCACTAATCAGAGTTTAGACGACATTGCATCTGCCCCCGAGTTTGCAACCATTAATTATAATAACATTTCACGCTTCTCCAATTAACCAATGCCATGCCATGCTCATCGAAATCAAACACACACACACACACATACATACACACACACACACACACACACACAACAAACGCTCTTAAACTTGTATGCAAATGAGGCACTCATTTCGAAGATTGAACGGCCTGCCAGCCTGCCTGCCTCCGCACATGTTTAAGTATTTATAAAAAATTAGAAATAAATAAATAATAAATGTAGATGACAAGTATAAACAAACATCGATCTGCAGCGAGTGAAAGGTGCGATTATGAAGACGTCGACTTGTGACCTTCAGTCATGGCTTTATGCAAATGCAACCACCGAACCCAATGGAGAGGGGCCAATGACGCTGGTTGGGGGGATTCAGTCAGTCGGTCACCCGACAGCGAACTTTAGATAATTGAGACGTAAAATCATTTATTCCGATAACATAATAGCCTCAAGACTATGATGGTATAATGGTAAGTCGATATGACATGGCAAGTCACTTTTATTCACTGCACTAAAGATTCACACAATATATATTATTAAGATATGATATCGAAGGTAGGTAGGTAGATAGATAGTGATGCGTGATTGTTTGAGTTTTTCAGTTATTTCAGTTTTTTCAGTCGGCAGCTCTGCGCAGCTCTGCGTTGATGATTGTAAATGAAGATACTGATGAAAGCTAAAATTCATGCTAAGTCCCAAGGACAACGTCAGTCGCTATCAATGGCTATCGGCGTTGAATCTCCGGCGTGCCGTACGATGTCAGTCCGGTGGTGTGCGACACTGTGGAGTAGGGGGCACCCGCTTGCAGGGGCAACTGCGCCACATTCAGCGGCGTGATGCCAAAGGGCACGGGCAGCTTAACGTTCAGCGAGTTGGCATCGACGGCAGCCGATGAGCCAAGGGCACGACCTGAGGGAGATGAACCGACTGAGGGCGGTGTATTTGCGGCTAGGGGCGCCGAAGCAGCGCCAAACACATAACCTTGACTTGTCAGCGCCTGCGTGAAGGCGACATGATCGAGGGCAGGTTCTGTAAATTGTCGTACGACTGACTGATGATGCGGTGGTGCCGCTTGATAGCGACGCTGTTGTTGCGGACGCTGTGGTGGACTACCCAGGCGGGGCTGTGCACGCTGGGGAGTCGGATAGTGGTAATAGGCCACCTGTGAGCTCGGCGTTATTGAATATTCCAGGCCATTGCGCAGGTGTGAGACGTCCGCATGCGCCGTAAGCAGCGTCAAAGAGACTAAGCATATGCCGAGCAATAACTGTAAAATTTATATGATCACACATTATCATTTCACTATCACTTCAATATCTATACATATATGTTTACACTCACATTTCTGCAGCTCATGACTCTGGCTGAGGTTCACTGCAAGTCTCGAATCACAACACACTCTCTAAACTGTAGCTTTCTTTTATGTTCAGTCTACTTTAGAGTTTGGTTTCGTTTTCGTATCCCTGCGCGCCTCGTTCTCGGCTCTACCGATGATCATGAATGGGATGTTGATGAAGATGTTGTCCGACGGAGCTTTTGCAACTGATTAAACTTTGTGCGCAAGCTGAAGATGAGTTTTATATCGACAGCAACAGCAGCAGCAGCCGCTCGAGAAACAACAAAAATGCGTTTACTTCTCAAAGTCAGCTGCTGGCGGTTTTTGTTTTGTTTTCTGCTCGCTACTCTCCGCTACTCGCTCGTTGGCGATTTAGTCGCTTTTGAAGCTATTCATTTTTGTCAGCTTGTCGTATTTTGTTGTCCGCCCCTCATCGTCCCCCCACATTAAATAAATCGACTCCGTCGTCGACAACTGCAGCTTGGCATTTGCTGGTTGCTGGTATGTTGGTATGTTTTGTGTATTTGTGTATTTGTGTTGAGTTTTGTTTCGGATTTTTATTTTACATGCCGCTCATCATTGCTATTTGCCCGTTGACCAATGTATGTGCGAGCTTGTCTATTGATAATAAGTATTTTGTTTGCCTTGCATATAAATCAATGTTGGTCATTTTTATTGGCATCCAAACTATGCAAGTTGGCTTTTAGGACAGAGGCGTCTTGACGGGGTAAACTTAGCAGGCAGGTACCAGTAAGGACTTCAAGTAACTCCAACATAACTGGTTAACGAATTTCAAGAACAGCTGACATCGATAATCGGAATGAATCGAGACGGGCACTCTAGACTTTATTCAATTTATGCGCTATTTTCGCAAAACAATCTTGTTACTGAATTGAATCCTTTTAAAGCAGTAATGCTTTGGTAAAGGCCATATTTGTTGTTCATAAATCATTTCGATATCCTTAGTCAATAAATAACTGTGACAGAAGGTGTTGGGAATCAAGGACTTCCACTTTATAATCCATTTTTAATTTTTTTAATATATATTCCCATAACTTTTGTTTTCAATTATTGAATTTCAAACAGCGGAAATGAAAGAAGAGGTTCCGTATTAGAGCCTAAACCTCTCCAAACATACCACTACTCACATCTTACTATATATTGTATAAAAAGCACCGCCAAGGATATAGTATTTTGGAAGTTTCTTTTCAAGATTACCACAGATGTTGCGTTTTTCACCAAGAGGCAATCTGAATAACATGCTTTAGAAACTGCCCCCATTTTCGTTTAATTTTGTTGCTTCTCCATAGTCCCTATCTATGGAGACTTTGTTCAATGCCTTGTAGGCCAGACACGTCACTGTAATACAGCAATAACAACGTTAACACCTCGCACCACGAACCACGCACAGGCGCTGGCATTTGAGCTTATTAAATACAAATCGAGTGTCATGTGACAATAAACAAAAACAAAAGGCAATAACGCCTAAAAGCCGCCAATAACAGACTGAAGCAGTCGCCACAATCCGCTCGACCGAAGACTTTGCGTCAGCAACGACGAGGGCGACAACGCACAGTGGCCCAGAATTATTGCTCTCTGTAACTTTTGCAACATACTATATATGAAAAACAAGGCTCCTACATATATGTAACTAAAGATTTATTTAGGTATGTCAAACTATGGTCAGAGAACGAATTGCGATGCAGTGACCAGGACTAGAAAGCAAATCTTGCAAACAAATATAAATTTGCAACAAAAACTTGAAGGAAATAATTATCGAACCATTTTTGAGCATTGAATACAGATTGTACAGACCTCCTCTCCTTCTTTAAAATAAAATGGATTCCCCATTGAACTTGTCCCAAATTATATTTTAATATTATTATATTTGAACACATTAATTGCTTGCAATACTCAACCATCTCGAGTAATTGTAAAAGCCAATGGGTGCAGGTGTTGAACCACTGTGCGCCGTCAGCTTTGAAATACTCATAATTCCGAGCACACAAGAGCTGAGCGGGCATGCAAAATGGAAACAACTCGCGGCTAGTCAAATAAAGAGCCGCAGAAGCAGAATTCGGTTGTCAAATGCCAAACAAGAGATTTGCTCAGACAGGGAGGTCAGTCGTCGCGTTGTCTTACAATCGCTGCCGATCATTTAAAGCTATTTACATTTAATTTGTGCTAATAAATATATGCAGACTCTGAACTGCTGACCCATTTGATAGGTTTTTGTTTTCCTAAAACAATACTCAATAATATGCAGGTAAATTATATTTTGCCATGAGTTTGTCAGCGGTAGCTGTTGTCAGGTGGTTCGCATCCGATCAGACCGATCGCATCGGATCGGATCGGCAGTCAGTGTCAAGCCCCGCCTTCAACAAAGTCAACAACATATTTGCGCCTCCGGCAGCCAAATTTTTGATTTATGAATGTCTGCATAAATATATGAGTATATATCTATGTGAGCTTTAACAAGTTTGCTTCTGCTGTTGCGGTTGTTGTTGCTATTGCTTTTTCGGTACTAATCGTCTCATATTTGTGGCTCTGCTCGCTCTCTGTTTGTTTATTCATGCGCTGAGCGCATCATTAGCGCATAATTTAGTCGCATCTGTTCTTTAATGTGGCGCATAAATTTATTAAGTTATATGATAATTGAAATGATCTTTATATAATGTTTTAATTAATTGCTAATTGGCGCCTCCATATTCCTATTAACGATTATCGTATTATCAGCAGCATCAGAGGGGGCAGCAGAACGATTCGTTGAAATTACGTATACGTCTTGTGGGCTGCTCTGCATTGATGGCGTCCATTTCATTAGTTATGAGCCGTAACCGACGTTAATGAGCCAATCACAGTTACATTTGCTCACCACCCAGCCGCATAAGGCAGCGGAATCGAACCTGGAATGGGGGCTGGAGCTGCGTAGGTTGCGAAAGCTCCTGGAGACGCCGTGTGGAACGAGAATTTTCCGTACGAATGTGGCGCCGCATAAACGTTGGGCGGCAGAGCGGCGTGATATGTGGGTGGTGCGAATTTGGCGAAGACTGGCGGCGGTGCAGCAGCAAAGGTCGCGGGTGCGGGTGCGGGTGCCGCAAAACTCGAATACGTTGTGGTTGTGGTCGTTACGGGCGCACCAAGCGAATACTTAATAACTGGCTGTGGAGCAGCATAGGCAGTAGCATACTTAAAGATAGCAGCTGCTTGTGGTGGTGGTGGTGGTGGAGCAGCATACGTCAGGGCAGGCAGCGCTGCATAGGAGTCGGCACTGTAGACAGCGGGTGTCCCAAACGATGGACCGTGCAGAAACCCCGCCAATGTGTGCGATTGGCAAATAAGCAACGTGAGTAGCGAGGTAATCTGGATTGTTCAAAACGTTGAAGGAACCATCAAAATAAACAGAGTATGTATTTAAAATAACAATGTGCTATAAATTAGCACCTTTTTCTCTGCGAATTATTTTTATAAATAACTGATAAATACTTTAAATTATAAAATGAAAAGCGGCGATAACTAAAGCAAAGTACTTTACTCTTTACCAGAAAAATAATCATAAACAAAACAACGTAAGGCAATAAATAATGAAGAGAATAAGAAAACGGAAGTAGTCCGTGCCAGATTACAAAAAGTAAACAATTGAATAAAATTTTTTTAAATTGATAAATTTTATAGAAAGAAAGCAAACAAAGTTCAAATTCGAATTAATTTAATTGGCTACCAGAAATCTATAAGTTGATTCTTAGCCATTTCATTCAAACGAAACACAACCAAAAGCGCGTTTGAATATTCTGATGATACAAGGTGTATCCAAAAGCAAAAATAACTTTTCTAAAATACTTTTCTCATATACTCGTATGTATGTCACATCTTTTAGCAACATCCTGACATTTCATAAAAATCCCATCTATAGAAACCACGTTATTGAACACAAAGCATTACACTGTTGTGCTATCGGTACAAAAATGAAGATAATGGTGATAATTGCTTATCTCGAGGCAGAGTCCACGAGTTCTATACCTATACGCGATCTAAGAATGGTCCACCTATAACGGCGCAAGCATATTTTAAGAAAAAGAAGAGCTTCAATGACGTAAAGCTTTAAGTTAGTTAGCAACCGACCGCAAAGGGGCGTGTCTATTGCCAGTGAAAGCACATTGATAACGAGTATATATATATATAGTATGTTCCTTGCCTTGGAGTGAAATTGTCAGGATTTTCTTAGAACCAACCGATTTAGATGGAATGTATACGAAAGATAAATATGTATTTTATACGTGTGCAAAATTTGGTTTAAGTAGCTTTGGAAATGTGGGCAGTATTGAAGAAGTTCTTAAGTGTGGAGAGGGGAGGGGATCGAACAAATAAAATAAACTCGCGTTGCCTTCTCCCTCTTACATATTTTGTAGAAACCTATTATAAACTTTTCAACCTACGGCTACGGGGTATTAAAAGCGCTCCAGGAATAGGGACATCGATTGAATAGGTTTATACCAGCATTCTTAAGAATATGCAAACACTCGGGTGAAACTAAACTCGTTTTACAACAGTATCACTTGTGTGGTCAATACTGATTGCTTTGGGATGCACCTTGTACGAGTATTCTTTCCTTCTGAACTTAATGCGCATTTTATCTGTTTCGCAATTATGAAATGCACATTACTTACACTTTTCAACATTTTGCAGTCGAATTGCTTTTTGTGTCTGTTGTTATTCACTTTCTTGATTTCGATTTTGATTTTGTCACAATCAGTTGAGCGCTTTCACGTTGAATGAATCGATTTGGGTAAACAGTGCAGGTTTTTATACGGACCAATACCCAACATTGTGCACTTCGTTGTACAAATTATGCTGATTAAGACGTAACCGAAAAGTACAACTTACATTACGGCGACAGTTCACGCAGACAACGTGCAATCGACAAGAAAATCGTGCGTCAAATGCACGCCGCACGTTTTGCAATCCGACCAAAAATACAAGAGACGCAGTCGAGGCGTGCTCACATGTTTGCCACAAGGCTCTTGTGCTCCTCGTTCCAACAATGCCACACAATAGAAAGACATGGTAATGGTAAATACACATGGCTGATCTCTCATTCCATTATCCAGTATATTCTAAGAAAAACACACAAATAAAAGTTAAGAGATATTCACCTTACCCCCAATTAATCAAATCAACTCTTTTTTTCTAACAATTTAAAACTGCAACTAGTGGATCAGAACTGTGATTAAGCTTAATTCTGAAGCATTCTATGGAGGATGGGAGAGGCTGAAACAACATGATAGAGCTGCTAGGATTCCGAAGCTAGTTACATTAAAAGTTAAATCTTCCGTTTCAATTTTAATGTGTACATCACGTTTTATGAAAAATGCGTTGCAAAAACAATGGCCTAATTGTATAGAAAATTAAAATTCCCGTTCGAAGTCATTAAATTGTTTAACGCAGAACGCTTTTAAAAGTAAACATCCTTTGCAATAACAAAATGTAAAATAAATTTAAAAAGAATAGGAATTTTTCCTTTACCTTATCTTGTTCTTTATGAGTGCTAGAGAGTAGTATTATGTAGATAGATATTCCAAGATTTCAAACAATTCTGGATGTTTGAGAGAGATTCTTTTAAAAGTAAACATCCTTTGCAATAACAAAATGTAAAATAAATTTAAAAAGAATAGGAATTTTTTCTTTACCTTATCTTGTTCTTTATGAGTGCTAGAGAGTAGTATTATGTAGATAGATATTCCAAGATTTCAAACAATTCTGGATGTTTGAGAGAGATTCTTGGCAACCAAGCAGTGACCTGTGAATAGGCCGGTTGTAAGCTTTTAGAATTCAGCATGAAAATGGTGAGATTTTTGAGTCCCCTTTCAGGCGTTCTGCTTCCAGTTGGCTTAAGGAAAACCTCCTGCCTTAACCTTAATGCCCCAGTGGCTGGGAACGTCTGCCTCTCTATTAAGAGGTCAGGAAGAGGAAAGGTGTAAAGCATATTTTGCGTTCGTTTTATTTTTACAGGTACTTGATTATACATTTATGTTCCCTTTTCGCAAAAACTTTTACCGTCAAAACGTGTGCATCGAAAGCACGTTCACTTATGGCTTATCAGTGTGATCGATGGCCAGCTTCAAAAATAAATGTCATAATATCCACAGACACCAGCAATATGCGATTTATGTCCATGCAACTGCACAATAAAAGTTTATGTATGTACATGTACTCGCATGTACGCACAAATGAATCTCAATGGCGCCGCAAAGTAAGCCGTGTTTTTCGTTCGTAATTCATCAACAGGGCCCGTTCAAAAGTAGGCAACACAACAGTCAACAGTCTGAAGCCAAAGTCGACCTCATTAAAATCAGCACTCCAATGAAAAACGTGTCGCGTGATTTATGGCCAATTATATGAATGCTTTAATACGCGACGGGCTTGTCAACAACGTCAACAAACAAATAAGAGGCGCACAATTTAGAGAAATTCAAAATATGTATTAACGAGCGACTAGCAGGCAAACAGATATCAATACCCATGTGTTTACCATTTGGAGCGCAAGTGAATACGCAACAATCGGCGGTGCCACCGTCACCACCGCCGCATTGTCAAGTGCGGCACACTCCCAGCACTTGAGCACTCAAGTGGCAAACGCAACGCAAAACAGAAACAACAACGAACACAGTAGCAGTAGCAGTAATAGAAAAAGCAACAGCAGCCATCAAGTGCCGGCGACAACAACTGCTGAAGATGCTGGCATCGTCATGGACCTGTTGGACTTACAGCCACTGACATACCCTATACCTAAGAGGTGGAGGAGTACATGACTATACGTTTCGTTACATTTTTACACCATATTGATAAGAAGCCAAGAAGCTGAGTCGAGCTAGTTCTAACGTAAAATATTCAAATTGGATATGAAAAGAAAGCAGAAACCTTATTCTAAGAAAGTATATTGATTTTTGAATAATTATTATAAAATGTATAGCCTTGTCATTAGACAATGAATAAAAGAAAGACAGGTTTAATATTATTTGGAAAAAGTGGGCGGAATACCTATGTATATTTCGAAAAGTCACAATTTCTGAGCAACTACTTGACCCGGAAGAACCTTGAAAGCATATTAATTCGATCAATAAGCTAATGTAAGTATTAGAAATTTCGAAATATGTATTTTGATTTCATATTCAGCTGCACAATGTATATCTCGATATTAAGTGCAAAGGCGTAAATTCTGTAATTCCGATTTTTGATTTAATATATAAAACTAAATAAAATTTGCCTTCAATAGTTTTTATTTTATAAGTAGAACAAGTTTCTTTCTATGTCTCGGTATTTTGGAATTTTGTGATTTCCTGTTAAGATGACAATCAATCAACCATCAATCAACCATCAATCAACCATCAATCAACAAATCAATATCAAATCGGTGCTCAATCTAAACACCCTGGCAGCATTATACTTGTACTATATGTAGTAAATGCTTTAAGATGTATACGCAATACGATATATTTGACTCTATTTTTCAAAGATCTTTTCTTACACAGTCGACTTCAACCATACAGGGTATCCCGAAGTTGAATTCGCTTCACTTTGGCTTCGTTTTTACGAGCACGTTATAATGCCGTGTAATGCCAACTAAATCATTGCACGCGTTTTCTTTTACCCATCTGCGACTCTTGAAGTGCTTGGCCCAAGAGCACGAGACACGTTTGGCTTTTGCTGCTGTAAACCTGTAGCTTCTGGTGTGGGCGTGGCCGCCCCCCATTACATGCGACACGCGCAGAGCACACGCCGTTTGAAAATTGTGTCACGCGCAACTACCTGTCGTCGTCGAAGTTTGCGTTGTTGTTGTTGCTGCTGCTATTGTTTTTGTTTTTCCTGCTGCTGGCTTTCCTCCCCACTACTCAAGTGTCTGCCTTAGACGCAAGTACTCGTATGGCTGCCACTTGACTTCGCACGAAACATGCTGCCTGAAGTTTCCATTCTGTAGCACGATTCATTTTTCATACTGCTGATAATACTCGTATAAAAAAGCCAGAAACATGTTGAATCGCTGCTAGTTTTGCATTAAACATCAGAGGAAGTCAAACAGCATCGTAAAATGAAAGTGGGTACATAAATTTGTTGACAATATATATACTTGTATGTTTGAATGATGAAAACAAAAACAGCAGAGCAGCAACAGTCAGGGTATTCCTGATTGCTGGCCAAGTTCTAATATGGCTTAAAGGAAATCAACAAGACGGAACGCACACTTCTAAGTCCAAAGGTTCAAATTGGATTTTGCTGAAAAGCTGCTTACTGATAGTGTGTTTTGAAAATGCAAATGGTTAATGCGTATCTTTCGATTTTCGCTATATATATTTCGCCAGATATACTTGTATTTTCGTTTATGTAAGTAGCTGGAATTTTCGACTGCTTCGACAGTTCTGCTAATGCGCAGACATCGATTGACGAATTGACTGTCGCTAACCATGTGTACAATAATATGGCCTTCATTGAATATTCGTGTTTTACAGTTGATGCTGAGGTTGCTTTGCAGATGCTATCCGCGCTTTTTATCGTTCTTAGTTTGCACCATATTGTAATCCGGAATACCCTTATTAAAAATATACAAATTAAGCTTATATAAAAGCGTTTTAAATCAGACAGCAAAATGTGCCATAAAAACCCTTTTATCAAAGTCTAGCTGCCGACTGTTAGACATGCGTAGTGTATACTCGTCTACCATTTGCATAATCTACACACAGACTCTTCGATTTATGTACTTTTCCGTGGAGCTTATCTTGCTGATGTACGTTTATTCCGCTGCCTCTACCACCTTGACAGAGCATGTTACTCAGGCGTATGTGCTGGGCAGCTCACAAGCTCAGCCACCTCTCATATCACAAATCATATTTCGTAACATCGGCCACGCACTGCAACAAAAGCGAATAATGGAATAAATTGAACTTTGTGAAAAGTCAGGTGCTTTAAAAAGTTGTGTAAGTGTGCCCCGCGCTCACGGGGTGGATGTGAAACATGTTTACTGCTTTATCACTAATACATTAACGTGGAGCCTAATACAAACTAACAATACACAAATTACTAAATTAAGAAATTAATTAGTTCTGTGCATATAAATAAAACTTATTTAATGGCGCAATTGTTGTTGTGGAAACAGATTGGCTAATTTACTCTTTTAAGTAGGTGTCTTTCAATACTTTTTCTCATTTATATTTTTTTCATTGTCCTTTAAAGATCTATTGAACTCATTGAAGCGCCTCGGCTGTTAGAAACAGTTGCGTAAGCTACTTGGGGAATCCAAATAAATTTGCTAATGAGAAGCACCCTTTTTTCCCCCTATGTCCGCGATTCATTGCATTATCACGTGAAATATTGTGTTACCTCCCATCAGTAATTCTGAAGAATAATTAAGAGCAATAAAACTTATTTGCGTGTAATGCAAATCCCTTTCACGGCTACAAATTTAGATCGCAAATTGCAACAACAGCGCAATCTAGGAACGTGCCGTTGCGCAAACGACGCGTGGGTTGTTCGAGGTCCTTGCTGGGCTTGCCAGTCAATGAACTGTGCGACTCTGAGCGCAGCGCACATGCACAGGATTATCGGCTCTAAAAATTCCTTGTTACAATAGATAATTATGGAAAAAAGCAATGAGATCTGCCACTGGCAACACAACGTATTTCTATCGAAAGTCAATGCTCGAACCAAGGCCGTGGATTTGAGGAGCTTGTGCATCATCTCATTCGTTGTCGTCCTACGTGCACTTCCTGCGGCCAGGCTTACCAACCAGCGGTTGTGCACCCAGTTGACCCTTTGAAGCAGAGCTCATTTGTAATTAAGTTGGAAAATAATTATGCGAAGTTTGTTGCTGGCACGGAAACTCAATGCCCTTTTAATTGGATGCTGGGGTCCTGGGTTGCGGATTGCGTTAACACGCGTGGCCACAAAATGCAACTTGTTGTGAGTATCTCATGAACTGTTTACAACGCCAGTGTAATCAACACTTGGGCCAAATACAAACAAAGTTGATGATGTGTGCAATATTTACCCGCTCTTCCTTCTCCATGGAATATTATGTAAGTTCTTTGCTCCGTGCGGTCAATGTAACATTAATGAGATGCGAAAAATGAGAAATGCGAGAAATGCGGTTAAATAAAACTTGTTGGCTAACCATCACAGTACACAATGCATATTCGAGCTACTAATAATGTAAGGAAATTAAAGCAGCCCTGAGCGACATGGAATTTCTAAAAAAAAAAATTATTGCTGAGCATTAAACATCTAAATAGAAGTAGGCTCAGCTTTATGGGTAATATGGTCTTAAGACATGCCTATATTTTACCAAGTCTCAAAAATATCAACTCAAAATAAGTAGCGAAACAACATTGAAAAAGTCTAACAAGACTCTTAATCAGACCTGTACCAATTTTCATTGAATCATGAAATTAATTTTACTTTGAGCCATCCCGACACCAGAGAGTCTTAACAATTCACAGATACCCAGATACTCGCTGTCCAACAACTGGAATTCAATTGGAATGACGAATGACTTTCGCCATGCTTTTGTCAAAAGTCAAAAGACACTTCTCATTTAAAAAGGATATTTAGCTTATATTAAGGCAATATAACTTTTTTATAACCACTTAAAAGAATATTGCATGTCCTCATTATGTAATTTTTGGTGGTTATTTACTTAAATATTCAGTATTTTTCAAGCTATATCCGAGGGGTGAAAATAATATATTAGGTTTAGACAGAGTATGTAATAGGCGGAAAGAAGCATCCCCGACACCATAATCCTCTATCCGCTACAGCATATCGTCAAAACTGGCTATAACTGCAAGATACATAAGAACTCTAAACATGTGTAATTAATATATTTTTCTCTACTTTTGTTTTAAATTTCATCACTGCACCAACAAACTGCAGAAGGGAATTCGCTCTTCTTCTTGCTTCTGATATATAACGCATATAACTTAGCGCCGGAAATTTCTTTGGGTAAAGGGTATTTCACTGTTGGGCTTGCTCGAGTGTAGCGTTCTATCTTGTTAGGTTTATTTTACTGATCTATTACAAGTCTTATGAAGTTTGTGCTGCATTTGCATTTACTTCTCATGTATTAATAATTTGAAAATGAACTAAGGACACCACTGACTAAGTGCAAGTATAGGAGAGTTCTTCATATTCACGAAAATGGTTTCCCCAGCGGCTTTGGCTACTAAAGCTATAATTGGAATTATTTGTTGCATACTTTTAAGCGAGCATTTTAACTCAATCCGCTCGAGTCGAATGCTTGAGTTGAGCATTTCACTCAACAATTGTTCAGCAATTGAAACACCTGCCTGACAATGTTCCATTCGTCAGTTAGTAAGACATTCGGTGTGGGAAACAAATCGGTAACTGTGTCATGAGTATGCGCCCATTTGGGCTGTCGGTGCAACGCAAGAGGTGGCTGGTGGCAGGTGGCAGGTGGTGGCCAGAGGTGCCGAAGCATTCGTTGCGCCTCAATGCATATTCAATGTGCGAGTTTTTTACTTCTGCGAGTAGGAAGCGCCAAAGCGTACTGGAGCATGTGCATTGAGGCTGGCCAAGGTCGTTGCCAATGCTGCTGTGGCTTCGCTTGACAAATTGTTGGCGACTCTCTGTTGAATCGTCGTCGCCGCTTGGCTTGCTAACGGTAACGATTGTAGACGGATTCGGCAGCTTGGCAGCGTTGACAAACGAAAGTCAACAGCGTGTGTGTCGCGGTTGTGGCCCAAGATAGACCTAATAAAATTATAATAACATAATTTATGTTCATTTTGCATAATTTATACTTTATGTGGACGTGGCTAATTCTTGTTGTTGGCTTGCCGTCGCGTCGGTCCGGTTGTCTGCTGTCTTAATAATTACATTTTGTGGCACATGAAGGTCGTCCTCGGCAGTACAATGGCGTATTGTTGCTGAATATAATTTATACTCCAAGCCAAATGCATAAGTTATTAAATAAATATGCACTAGGTAGTTGGACATAAGTATTTGATGGCTATTCAATTATCTTCAATAGCAAAGCTGCAGGCGAGCCGCGCCTGCTTGCCAATCGGCAAAGTGCAGTCCCGATTTGGCCAAAACTAATTAAAAGGCATATTTAGCATTTGACAAGCTCTTGATATGCTCCAATTTTTCATTTACGAAACATGCCAATGCATTTAGCGCTGCCCGGGCATTAATAAATAAATATTTCAATTGCCGCTTGCCCCCCTGTTTTTACAGCTGCCGCACTTAACGCACTTTCATTGCAGTCGGTGGTCGGCGTTTGGTGGCAGACAGCCGCTTTGGCGCCGCCGCGCTGGCACGCGTAAGTTTGTCGCTTGAGTCTTTCGTGCTGCGGCTGCTGTGAATAATTGCGTGGCATGCTGGTATTTGAAAAACAGACCCATGAAATAAACATTTCGCAGAAACATTTCACAATTTTGCAATGAATTTCTTCATTTTGGTTCAATATTTGATGAAATTTTCTTCACGCATTTAATTTTTCCTTCTTGCTTAAGTGCGGGCTTCAAGCACCTAGTTATGAATTGCCAAATAGCTTGATGGAGAGACACCAAGCGAAATGGGCCGGCAAAAACTCAAGACAAATGTGAACGCAACTGGAAACACACATCTACTCTAACGATTAAAAAACAGGTGGTTGGAAAAAAAGCAACGCAGATAACATAACATTATCAAACCCGAGTGGAAGAAACTGCAAGCCAATGGACTCTTTTGACCCAATTAGGATAGAAAGAGGCCTGAAACTGTACGGTTTCGAAAAAACAAATTCTAAGCCTTTGAAGTGGAAATTGTTGCAATTAGGTGTGTTGATTTTGTAACGTTTGGAAGCAATTTGAATATGCCGATAGAGCCGATCATCCCATCGCTATAATAAACACATATAGTGTTCATTTATTAATATGCATTATTAATACTTATGCAGAACCAATTCGTACAAGAATAAACGTTTGATTCAGACGTTGTTCCAAAAATAAAATAGTAAAACAAAATGGATGCATTTTGAAAAACGCTGAAGTAATAACAAACGCGCAATGAAATAATTTCAGTTTTTTAATTAAGTTTGTATTATGTTTTAAATGTTTTCGTTTCAGAATTCCTTTAAAGCCATGCCAAACAAGAGAGTACTCGTAGAACTCCTCTTTAAAAACGATCGCACAAATTCAAATACAACATTTTTTTGTGTTCGATTTAAAATATGAATCCCCAACTTATACAATAAATATAATCATCATTTTTGATGTTATTTTTGTATCATTTATTTACAAAAGTTGAAACCACTTGCGTTGTCACACAATAACTAAATTATTTACAGAAAAGCAACAAACATACTCGTATTTTCCGCTCGTCTCTCACTCTGTCTGTCTCTACTTTTAACGATAATTTTGTACACATTTGAGGTTGTTTGGGACCAAACATTTTGACGGCAGCAAAATGTAAAAGTCCTTTTGAAAGTACATGCATCTCACATAATCTCGCTGGCTTAAGTTTAAGTTACACACACACTGCAAAACAATGACTGATGGTTGCTCCTTAAAGGGCTATTGTTGGTGTTGCAGAGGTCCCAAATGTGTGCTAGTCGGTCGTCAACGAAGAATAATTGCCATTTAATGCAGACCATAGCCCAAGCCATAACCGCCATAGCCGCCATAGCTACCTAGTCCGTAGCCACCGAGTCCATAACCGCCCAGACCATGACCATGATAGGTGGAGGTAGTGTGCAGAGCAGGAGAAGCATGCAACACAGGAGCGTGCAAGACAGGGGCGGCGTGCACCACTGGAATGGCCTTGGTGGCGACCTTGTAGGTGTTGGCGTACGAAGTGGCCACGGGATGGGCAATGGTCTTCACAATTGGGGCGGAGATAATGGGCGCGGAGTAGCTCTTAATGATGGGCGCGTGCGAGATGACAGCGGAAGAGTGGTAGGCTGGAGCGATGGCGGCACCATAACCCAAACCATAGCCATGGCTATAGGGCGAGATCAAACCGGCATTGGCGACAGCGCACAGAGCGGAGAGAACAGCGATCTGCGATCAAAAAATCAATTTGCAATTCGTTATTCAGCAAGTTCGTTGTCTTAGTCATTTGTTGGGTAGTGTGCTTTTTGGCGCACATTTTCCAAAATATCCTTACCAGCTTGAACATGTTTGTTTCTTTTTCTCGCCTCGTACGACTTGCTACGTGGAAGAGTTGAAGTTGTTATGTTTAAACAGCAGCTCGACACGGCATATTTATACCCAAAATAAAACCTGAGAAATATTCTGAAAAACCGCACAGACAATGCGCGAAACGCCAACAGCAACAGCAACGGCAAACTTAACCACAACAACAACGACAACAAGTAGCGACGAACGTTTGAGCGAACGAGCTAGCCAGCCAGCAACGAATCAAGAGCGTGAACGCCCTGTCTGCGACTTCAACCGCCACCAACAGCAACAACAACGACAACCGTAGCTTCGGCAAGCAGCGTCGGCGGTTGCTTTGGAGCTTTGAGAATGGCTAGTACTATAGCCACCGTCGCTTGCAGAGATCTCAAATCGGTGCCACAAAAATCAGTCACGCGCCTTCGCGCAGCAATTTTCCCAACAACCCGAGCTTTTCACAGCAAACGCGCCGCCACTCAATCTTTCAGCGGCGATAAGTTCAATTAGTTTAGTAGCGACTGCCAGTTGGATTCTATTTACAATTGTTTTGTTCACCTCGGTGGCGGTGGCAGCAATTGAATCTGACATGTCAGCGGTCTCTAATGGAGCGCAACTGCTTAACTATTTCTTTGGTGTTGGTGCTGGCGCTGGGGCTGGTGTTGGAGTCGGTGCCGGAAATTAAAATCATGTCGCTCTCTGTCTAACTTTAGAGGAGGGAGGGGTGAACGGAAAACGCGTTTTCCACAATTGTTTTATCGGTTTTTATTTTTTCTTCAGTTTTTGCTAAGATTTTCTTGCGGTTTGTGGCATGTGGCGATGGAGCAAAACAGTCGACTGCTTGTCTTAATTGCTGTATTATAAAGTGCGGTTTACTTAACAAGCAATTAAGTTTAACGAAATGTAGTCGACTAGAGAAAGGAATTAGTATCTACAACCAGACTTCAGTGGCAATGATATGAAAAGATGGCCATCACACACACAAAGCGTGTAGTACGGTTTACAGTCCTTTAAAGCTCATTTTAGATCGATCACCATGGAACGTAATGACATCTTAAAACATTATAATTAAATGTTGATCTGCTAGAATAAAATCATATTTTCAAACCATCTTGAAACAAAAAAACGAGTTCAGTACAGAAATTAAAAAGAATACAAAACAGGAGGTACAGCGCAATCAAGAAATTTTGGATACTTGACTGAACTTTCAAGGGTTTATGCGGACATTCATTTCGCTCTCATTTCAGACTTTGTAATCTGGACACCAACATTTTTTGTTAGCGCACCAATCTTTGTTTATTCCATTGTATTTATTGTATTTTGAAAGCTTGTAGTTCCTATTGAAATGTGTGCTTTCGTAAGTTTCGTAATTGAAGTGCAAATCGGGGCCGAAGATTACAATCCTCCCGCTTTCTGCTTCTACAAACTAATGTGTCAGCAGTATGGGGGAAACTTGTATAATTGGTTTGAAAAAGTTTGGAAATAGAATACTATGCAGGACAAAGTAAAGAATATAAAACAAAAGCTGTTGCTTTTCAAATGCAACCAAACTTAAGATGAAGAAGTAAATAATGTTTGACTACATTTCCTCAAGAATTTTTAACGTTTTGTTACAAGGGGAACATTTTGGAATTAATTGATAAATTATTGTTTTGTAAGTTATAAATAATTAAATAATTTCATTTTTTCCATTACGGACCCTCATGCACTTTTTATACACCTTTCATCATTTGGGAACCGCTGTAAAATAGGTGAGCAAGAGTTGTAGAGAAAAAGAAACCAAGAAAACGCCTTCTCTTTTAATACGCAATTATTATTGTCCTCATTGAACTGAATTGAATAGATCACAGATGTAAAGAATTAGTTATTTGTACAACTATGGCTTGACTCGATTTTGTTTCAATTCTTTAAGGTCCTCGTTGTACAATGGGAAATGAAATTTATGACTGATGAAACAAATTTGATTAAATTTGACGTTACATTAAAATGTTTGAAACGAAAATATAATTTTAAAATGTTGATACTGCATTACTTGCTCATCTAAGAGTTTGAAGTAGGTTTTCCAAATGCTTTAGTCGTGTTTGGAAACCATTGAGCAATCACAGCTACGATTATGAGAAAAGGTTTCCGAAGCCACATGTCCGACACGCAACTTCCCACCTCGCCAGTGGAGCAGTGGACAGTTTCCTTTCTAAAAGCCATAGGCCACTCATTGAATTGACATAAAGTAGCCAGTAGTAGCCCAGTTATCAAAAACACATCGCATAGGCGCACACTCTGGCACACATGCACGCGATTATCAATCAATATTCGCACTGACAGACAGCAACGGCTCATTACGGAGATCTGTAGGTGTGGAAAAGGCAGTTGGCCGATGCAAAACAGAGCTGGTGGTGCTGGTGGTATGTAGAAGTGGTCGCAGCTCAAAAATACATAGACAGGCATGAGAAATCGCAACAGTTAATAACTGACAACAAATTGCAGTATATTTGGACTAGAGTCGAGCTTCAGTTTCAGCTTAGCTCCTTGCCACTTTGTTTCGGCCCATTTGTACATTAATTTTCAGCTGATTTCTTATCGTTCGCGCGAATGCGAATACGAATGCGTAGCGTGGCGTATGCGTAATTTTTCTCGGCTACCAAAATCAATTCAAATGAAAATAAATTGAAAAAATGCCATAGCCAGCACAGTTGGAGCAGCAGTTGTTCATATTTATGCGCTCGATTTTATAGCCTGCCAGACTTTTTAATAGCCATTCTTAATTTGGTGTCCGACGAGAAATCATATCAAATATGGCCCCCTAATGGATGTGGCGCATATCTACGCTCGAAAATCTTGAAAACACACAGAGAGGCGTTTTATTTTTGTTTAGGTAGCCAGCCACATCTGCGAAGCGCGTAATCAATGTCTGTTGGTGTGCGATAAAGCCAAGATTAGACCAGCTGCGTTCGATGTTCAATGTCCGATGGCCGCTATGGCTGCAGCAGAGGCCATTCATTTCATTCAGTTTCATTTTTTATTTTGTGTTCTGCACACAAAGTAAAGAAGGCGGACTTGGTGCGGTGTTTAAGTTAATGCCTCATAAACTTAAAAGGCCGAACAATATTTTGGATTGTTCCCACTGTCAACCACTGCTACTAGCTGCTAGCATGGTCAATTGCCCATTGATTGGTGCTGTTGAAAATCTGCATATCAACGGAAATCCCTTCACTCGCGAACCGCTCCATTCGCACTCGCACTCACACTCACACTCGTATCTTAACCGGCCTCTGGCTCCAATTTGCATTTGTCACATGACCACAATGTTCTAGCAGCTTCAACGCGCTATGCAAATTATGCGAGTGTGCCGAAAAAACAAACCTCTAAACACCATCGTCGCGTAAATCTAACGCACACGATCGCTGCTCTATGGACAACGATTGATTGACACAAAGCAGGATACTATTGGCGTGCCTGTCACTTAGATCAATAGCTTGATTTGAGCTCACTGCGGTTGTTGTGGCACGAAATATATTCAAATCGCACTCAACAATGCAACGTACGTTGAAATGTGTACACGTATAATATAGAAATTTGAACACCCTTTGCTGAATCATTTCCTACAGCTCGGTTTTGATTTGGAAGCTAAGAAAAAATTTTATTAACAATTTCCCAAAATAAACAGTATGAAATACCGTCATTTACAATAATACTTCATTTGTATATATTCTTTTAGAAGCTTGTAAATACTCTGTGCACTTCATTGTGAATTTCATAAAAGAACAACACAAAGCACAGATATACGACGCTATATAATCATCAATATTAAATACATACACCCAAAAACAAAAACAAAATAAACAACGAATTTCAAAAACTATTCGAGACTATTCATCCAAATTTACGAAAAGGAGAAAAAAACAACACAAACATGCAAAAAATATAACGAAATATATAAAAAAAAATATATATGAATTATATTTTATTCTATTCATTCAAGAAAAAATGTAGAAGACGTGGTCAGGCAGGCAAATAATTAGGGCTCTGCAGTAGAACATCTAACAAGGGTCTTTGTGGCAGAACACTACATTCCAGTCTAACATTTTTCATGCTAATAATTAAAATAACGTGACCACATCTGTGTTGTTTTCATTACAATAAACCGAAAGAGCTGAAATATACAAGTATATATTTCTATAAATAAATAAAATTTATTAAAGTGATCGAGTCATCTGAGTTTTCGCCTATACCCTTAAGCAAGAATTATGGGAAATGGACAGCCACCCACTCGACACGTTGTCTTACTGCTGGCCTGTAATTGCACTTTAATGGCTTCGCCAGCGCATTGTTTTTGCATTGACCAACTGTTGAGAAACGCATTGATTTTGTATTGGGCAATTGAACGAACGAGTCGGGGCGCATGAGTGACCACAAATCATTCAAAGTTGAAATTAAATGCCGTCAGTTTTCGGTATAATTTTCTATTTTTTCAATGATTTATTGATGGCTGAGCAAGCTTGAAATAATGGTCGAAACTGTAATGCGGAATTTTGTACTACATTTGAGTTGAGGAAAACAAATCTGCGAACAAATGGGCTTAAACAAATACAAATATGAACTGCACCTTCTTGTCAATAGTTTGAAATTAGCGGAGATTATTTAATTTGCTTTAGTTTTATATACATACATATGTAATTATAAGTTTGCGGTACGATGGATGACGTGGCTTTAAAAGGCAGCAGCTCCAGCTCCAGCACCAGCTGTGTAATTAAGCATATTAAGTATACCACACGTTGGTACGCGGACGCGGTCAAGGTCGCTTACGCTGTTTTGTCGCAATGTCGTGCATATTACAGCGACAGCAACAACTACTCTACGCTAC